AGGCAACTGTGCTGGCATAGTGATACAGTTAACCTAAAGGTAGCATTACCCAGGCCCAGAATGCCAGCCAGCCTTGGCTGTTTTTCTCCTAGCATTGTACAAGGCAATCTAGGCAGTTGTCTGTAGCTGAGTGGGAATGAATTTTTTTTTTAAAAAAGATTTATTTTTATTGCAAAGTAAGATACATGTAGAGAAGAGGAGAGACAGAAAGATCTTCTGTCTGATGACTCACTCCCCAAGTGACCGCAATGGCCAGAGCTGTGCCAATCTGAAGCCAGGAGCCAGGAGCTCTTCCAGGTTTCCCACGTGGGTGCAGAGTCCCAAGGCTTTGAGCCATCCTTGACTGCTTTCCCAGGCCACAAGCAGGGAGCTGGATGGGAAGCAGGGCTGCTGAGATTAGAACCGGTGCCCATATGGGATCCCGGTTTGTTCAAGGCAAGCACTTTAGCTGCTAGGCCACTGCGCTGGGTCCCTGAATTTTTTTTTTTTAAGATTTATTTTTAATCAGAAAAGCAGGTTTACAGACAGAAGGTGATAGAAAAATATTCCATCCACTGGTTCATTCCCCAAGTAGCTGTAACAGCCGGAGCTGAGCTGATCCAAATCCAGGAGCCAGGAGCTTCTTCCAGGTCTTTATGCGGGCACAGAGTCCCAAGGCTTTGGACTATCCTTTACTGCTTTGCTGGGCCACAAGCAGGGAGCTGGATGGGAACTGGGGCAGCTGGGATGCAAACTGGCTTTGCTATAGGATCCCGGTGTGTGCAGGGTGAAGATTTTAGCCACTGAACCATCATGCTAGGCCTGAAATGATTATTATTAAGTTTGACTTTTTAAAAAAATTTCTTGATCATTGTCAAGTATGGTCACCCCCTTCCTTAAATACACACAAGTGGAAAGTGGATCATAAAGGCATTTATACAGGGTGCAGGCATCTCAACCAGTGACTTAACCTGAGCCAAAACATTCACTTCTGACTTTATAAATGAAATAACTTCTGACATACCTAACAAGATTAGATCATGGGTCACATTTTAAACTCGTAGTGATTTTCATAACTTTTATATCTGTAATAACTGGGAGTTATTCTACATTACTGATTAAATTTTTTGATGAGTTTTTCTTAGGGGCTGTTTCTGTGGCAGAGCAGGTGGAGCAGGTGAAGCCAGCACTTGCAGTGCCACCATCTTCTAGGCACTTTCGTGTCCTTGCTTCTCCACTGCTGATCAAGCTCCTTGCTGGTGCATCTGGGAAGGCAGCAGAGCGAGGCCCGGTGCTTAGGTCCCCTTACCTCTGTGGGAGACCCAGAGGAGGCTTCTGGCTCCCCATTTAGGACCTGCCCAGCTCTGTCTTTTGTGACTATTTCAGGAGTGAGCTAGCAGATGAAGGATCTCCCTCTCTCCTGTCTCTCTGTAACTCTTCCTTTTAAATCCTACAATAAAAATAACTTATTTGAGTTGTTGGGTGATGGAAACAAACCGGTGGAGTCTTCTGATTGACCTCCGTGAGCCCACAGTGATCCACGGGAAGTCAAGCCGCGAAGCCATGACTCCCCGTGGGTGGCTGGAGCTCCGCTTGGGAGGCAGGCGAGCCAGCGGCTTCCCAGGGGCGCGTTAACAGGGAGCTAGACTCAGCAGCTCAAGCTGGCAGTCTTACTATCTTAACTGGAGTCTTCACTGCTGAACACCTAACCCAGAGAGGTGATTTTTCTTTTTTACTGATTTCCTTTTTGTTATTTGAAGGGCAGATTTGACAGAGGAGAGACAGAGAGAGGTCTTCCATGCACTGGTTCACCCCCCAAGTGGCCACAATGCCCAGAGCTGAGCTAATCCGAAGCTGGGAGTCTAGAGCCTCTTCCCAGTTTCCCACGTGAATGCAGGGGCCCAAGGCCTTGGACCATCCTCCGCTGCCTTCCCCAGCCACAAGCAGAGAGCTGGATGGGAAGTGGAGGAGCCAGGGTTTGAACTGGTGCCCATATGAGATGCCAGTGCTGTAGGTGGAGGATCAGCCTGTTGCCCCACCGCACTGGCCCCCAAAGGTGCTTTTGGAATGTTGGATTTTGTATGTAAGTTTGTTTTTCAAGTAGATTCACCAGCTGCCTCCCTCATCCTTACCTGCAAAACATACATTTTTCTAAGTCTTCTTTGCTATAAGAATATAGTGTAAATTGGATGGTGAGATTTTTATTTATTTATTTATTTATTTTGGCCTTTGAGGACCAAATGATCATTAGAATCAGGTTAGAATTCAAGCAGTTGGATTTATTTTGTGAAGGTGATGTTTATTTTTATAAAAAAATACTGTTAGGCATACATTGGTAATTTCAGATTTAGGGTGTGGTTTTCCTAATATACATGTTGCTTTTAATTTTTAAAAAGTTAAGAATATATTTGAAAGAGCTGAACTGAAGGATGGGTAGGCGGACTGAGGGCATTATCTGCATCTGCTGGTTGGTTTATCAAATGGCCGTGGCTGCCAGGACGAGGCCAGGCTGAAGTCAAGACCCTCCCCCATTTGCCCAATTGCATGAAGAGGAAGCAGCTGGGACCCTGGCATAGCTAACCCGTCATGCCTCAGTGCCAGCCCTCGGAGTGGTTTTTAAAGCCCTTGGGTGAGGCACGTGTTCCTAAAACAGAGAATTTAATTATCCTTTGGTCATGTGTTTTGTATTTTCTCTGAAACAATTTAAGCAAGATTTTAGAGTTTGAGCTTCTGCTTCTCTGCTGTTGTGATGTTTTCTGTAGTATATACTGCAGATAAAGGTGTTAAATAGATCAGGTTTCAGAAGGGAGAATCATGGGTTTTGTTGCCCCGCTTTATCATCTAGTATGCCAGCGTAAATGTGCTCCAGATAGTCTAGCTTCATATTGGTACACATTTTTTAACTGTCCTTTTAAGAAAGGTTGCTATCAATTTTTTTTCCCTCAACTGTGAATTCTAGATTATTTATTTTCCCAATCATCTGCAATATTTAAGTTTCAGACAAACTAATGTGTGTACTCTGGAAGCAGATTATTAGGATTCAAATTCTGATTTGGCTATTTGTTATGAATTTTTAAAAAAGATATATTATTGGAAAGGCAGATTCACGGAGAGGAGAGATAGAAAGCTCTTCCATCTGCTGATTTATGCCCCAAATGCCTGCAGTGGCCTGAGCTGGGCAGATCAGGAGCCAGGAGCATCTTCTGGGTCTCCAACGTGAGTGCTGGGCCACAAGCAGGGAGTTGAACTGGAAGTGGAACAGGTGGGACATGTGGGGTGCTGGCACTTGAAGGTGGGCAGTTAGCCCGTGAAGCCATGGCTTAGGTTCCTGTTACGAATATCGACAACTTTAATCTCTATACCTTCTCTGTCAAATAGTGATAATGAATATAAACTACCATAGGTTTGTGGTGGAGACCGCGTGTTGTAAGCACTCTGTTGTTACAGTCATTCTCTGGAAGGCTAACTGGGGAGGCTTGAATATCAGTCTGTTTGTGGGAAACTGTGGGAATATGAACTCGGTAGGGAAACATACAATAATCCTATTCCCGAATTTGTATTCTATAGTCTCTTGAAGCATAGTATCTGCTTTGACTAGCAGGAATAATTCATTAATGTATTTCAAATGATAAGATTTAAACTGGAAGAATGCCAACCCAGAAACCTGGGGCAATGAGCTGGCTTGCTCAATGCATCACATGTTATAAGTTAGAATGGGTTGTGATCAGCCTGTATTATTGTATCTTAGTCAGCTGGTAAAACTCTAAATATTAAATGAGTGTTAAGGATAATCTAAGGAAGATCTCAAGTGTGTGGTCCCTCACAGCTTCTTTCAGTCTTCTTTATTTCATTTCCATTAATTACTAAGACAGAAATTGACCTGCTCAGTTTGTAAGTGATGCATACCCATAATAAATGTTAATTTTAAATATGTGTTAGGGATTATACAGGTGCTTATGAAGGACAGAAAGGCAGTAATGATTGGCTGTTTTCTCAAAGACATTGATAGTATGGACATTTTTGTTTGCAGTTGTAGAAGAACAATTTTCTTGACATTCTAGCCCTTTCTGCCTTTTCCGTGTCCTTCCCCCTCCGTGTCCTGTGTGCTCTGAGCATGGTCCTGGGAGGCAGCTGGCAGCTCTGAGTTTGCTGTCCGCCCTCTTCCTCTGGTATGGTTGTGATTGTTTTCACTGTTTGTGCTTTGGTGGTGTTACCCTGACTTTCCTATGTGCTTTTAATGTATCTTCCCAGTTTCTTTTCAGTTGGATCTGTTATTTACTTTTTATTGTTGCTTTTATTTGTGTTTATATACATTTGTGTGAAAAGAGAATAAATAAATGTATCCTTCTACAAATGGGATGCTTTTGTGTGAGCTAATTTGCTTTTAGCCAGAGAATCTAGAATTTTATGCTGTGAAAAAATAGCTCAATAGTTCAGTTGGTTTCTAGGTCTATTCTAGAAAGCAGATTTGTGAAGACATTTGTTCTTTTTCGGACCTCAGATTTACCAGACATGATACTTCCTTTTATATTATTTCTTTGATGGCTGCCATTTATTCTCATTTAATCTCAGTATATTTTTATATGTTTTTTTTTTCGCATTTGGATCACTAGTTTTTGGGTTTTTTTTTTATTCACATGAGAGGTAAAGGGTTTGTAGTAATTATTGGGAGTCTCCTGCACATTTTTTCTTTATATTTATGCTTGGATTATAAGCTGATATTTTTCTGCTTCTATATTAACTTGTTCATTTAAAAATATTTATTTTTATTTGAAAATCAGAGTTTTGGAGAGAAGGAAAGGCAGAGAGAGAAAGGCAGAGAGAGAAAGAGAGATATCTTCCAACGCTGGTTCACTCCCCGATGACCAGAGCTGAGCCCATCCCAGGCAAGGAGTCCGGAGCTTCCTCCAGGTCTCCACATGGGTGTAAGGGCCCAAAGGCTTGAGCTGTCCTCTACTGCTTTCCCAAGCACAGCAGGGAGCTGAATATGAAGTAGAGCAACCGGGGCACGAGCCAGTGCCCATATGGGATTTTGGCACTTGTAAGGCGAAGATTAGCCAATTGAGCCATCATGCTGGGCCTGTGTTATGACTTTTCTAAGTATAGTTTGTATGTGTTTGTGTGTTTATGAAATATAGTGAAATATTTGCCATTTTGTAGTCTCACTGAGGTGTGGCTCTTGAAATTGGAGATTTTTCCTATAGAATCAAATTCAGAGTGTACAGGTGTTTCAGAAATGTTTCTGTATACCAAGAATGAGGTTGTCCTAGTTGTGAAGGACTGCACTAAAGTAATGTCGGGCAGGGAGTCAGTGAGGGGCAGAAGCTTGGGACAGAGGAAGGGAAATTCTGGCGCCTATTTTAAAGGTTGCTATTGCAACCTGACAGGACCAGGTTATTGGCATTTTAAGAAAATCGTAAAAACTTTTAAATAGAACAAACTTACAGCTTGTGCATTGCTTGTACTTTGCTGTGTAGAAATTTTGTAGCTTTGTGATGGTTAATAAATACCACATTTATCAAGTAATTAATGTGGTTCCAGGGACAGAAAAGAAGGTTGGAAAACTTTTCCTTTTGTTCACTGTTCTTTAACTATCTTTGTAGGGAAATGCTAATTTAATGAGCAAACTATAAAAAGATGAAAAGTGTAGATTCATGTATGCGGAGTGGAGAGTTTTTTGATCCACATTGTTTTGTGATGAAACAATCACCTCTTTGTTATTTGGCTCAAGTGAGTATCCATTTTATGAAATGCTTGGGACCAAAAATGATCTACGTTTGAGATTTTTTTTATCTACCTATCGATGTGGAAGACAGGTCTGGAGGGCAGGGAGGCAGGAACCTAGAACCTCATCATGATCCCCACATGAGTAGCAGGCCCTAAGCGTCGGGCCACCTGCTGTCCCGGTGCAGCATCGGGAAGCTGGACTGGATGCAGAGGAGCCGAAAGTCCAACTGACACTTTGATCTGGAGTGCTGTTGTCGCAGGTCTCCTGTGGGGTGCAGGGTCCCAAGGACTTGAACCATCTCTGGTGCTTTCCTGGGTGTGAGCAGGGTGCTGGATCAGCAGTGGACCAGCTGGGACACTTCTGGCACCCGTACAGGATACTGAAACTATCAGTAGAGGGTTAGCTACTGAGCCACGGCGCCAGCCCCATCCTTTCTTGGATTTATTGTTCCTTGGTAATAAGGAATAATGAATGCATCAGAATCATGAGGATTAATTAGACCAGTCATTTAGGAAGAATTAGTATGGTGCTTGACCCACAGTAAGTACTCATTCTTTATTAGTATATTGAAGAAGACTTGCTTTTGGATTCTATTACTATTAAAAAATTCAAATTTCCCATTAAAATGAATATTTGCTGGTTCTTCAGTAACCAATATGTTATCATATTCATTTCAGTGGCATCCTACATTCGTTCCTTAAGGAAGGTTATGATTCAAAATCTTTTTATCGTGAATACATAATTGCAGAGAAAGAAATAAATAGGGATTCTTTGGGCAAATTCCTAACTGAACTTTTTATTAAAGAAGATATTATTAATGTGTTTAACTTACTGATCTAGTGTTGCTATAGCAAGAAATATGTAGGTGGCTCTTAACAGTTTTGTTCCCTGTCTGTCTTTGTTTTTTAAACAGGGTTTGTGGATGCACTTAGATGTCTGCAATGAGCACTGTGGCTGGCATGCCCCAGTGTTTTGGATACCAATGCATAGGACTCCATAGTAATCGGATTTACCAGAGGCGAACGTCATGAGCATAGTGACCCCACTGGGGGTTGACACAGCAGAAGCGTCATACCTGGACATGGCTGCAGGCTCAGAGTAAGTATTTAAAGGTTTGTCTTGTCTTGTTTTCAAGGAAAGGCAAAATATCCCATAGTTATCTTAGCATAACCAAGCAGTTGATTTGCTATGAAAGCATACATTAAATTTTGCTATAAAGCATTAATTCTGTCATGTTTTCTGAACTCTTGACTAAAACATTAGAAGTTTAAAGCAAAAATGCCTACAGCTAAGATTACTGTTTGTGTTGAGAAACAGGTTTCCCAACTGCTTTGACTCCCCAAATACCTGCAGTAGTGGGCACTCCGTCGGCTCCCCCGTATCAGCAGCAGGAACCCAACTGTTGGTGCCATCGCTCTGCCTACCGAGATTATGTTTATAAATAACGTTTATGTTTTCCTAATTGTTTTTGATATTTGCCAGTCATTGGCATGAGTCAGACTGCAGGTGGAGCCTCAGCTTGTGGTGGGCTGACGTGAGCCGCGGTTTGGGGTGCTCCGCGTCCTCCGTCAGTGTGCTCCTGGGAGTCTCAGCTGCTCCCCTTCCAGTGCGGCTTCCTGCGCTTGTGCCTGGGAAGGCAGCAGACGAAGGCTCAAGTGTGAGTCTCACTGTTCATGTGCAAAAGCCCCTCTGGAGCTCTCGCGTCCGCCTGACCCAGCCCTGGCCGCTTGAGCGGCATCAGCAGCTGCGTGGGCTCGCCACTGCTCTGCCTTTCAAATAAATACATTGATCTTCTCAAAAAGAATCAAGATAATATTACTTTTAGTCTAAAATCTACCGTATTTATACTGAAAGTAATTTGGTTTAAATATTAATTAACTATTACATTGTACTTTTAACAAACTTATGGTTAAAAAAAAAACAACTTATGGTTGCATTGTGACATATTTAAATGCAAGTTGAGTTGAAAAGCAAAATTAAATCATTTTAGGACCCAGCACAGAGCCTAGTGGCTAAAGTCTTCACCTTGTGCGTGCTGGGAGAAAAAAAAAAAGAATTCTTGCTGCTTAATTTTTTTAAAATAGGATAAACAGAGTATTTCCTAAAAAATAATTATTTGACAACTTATATTTTCAGAGGAACCATTTCTTTCTTGGTGTAGTCAGGTAAGCCAGCACCTGCAAAATGGCAGGGGCCCGAGCAAGTGTATCTGAAATAACTAACCTTGGGGACCTGGCCTTGGCTTAGGGAGTTAACCTGCCACCTGCAGTGCCAGCATCCCCTTCAAGTCCCAGCTGCTCCACTTCTTTTTCTTGTTTTTAATGATTTATTTTTATTGGAAAGGCAGATATACAGAGAGGAGGAAAGACAGACAGAAATATCTTCCATCTGCTAGTTTACTCCCCAAGTGGCTGCAATGGCCAGAGCTGAGCCAATCCGAAACCAGGAGCCAAGAGCTCCTCCAGGTCTCCCACGCTGGTGCAGGGTCCCAAGGCTTTGGGCCATCCTTTACTGCCTTCCCAGGCCATAGGAAGAGAGCTGGATGGGAAGCAGGGTTGCCAGAATGAGAACTGGCATCCATATGGGATCCCGGTGTGTGCAAGGTGGGGATTTTAGCCACTAGGCTACTGCGTCAGGCCTAGAGAAACCATTTCTGCTGGATTTAGAAGACTGGGTTACAGAGAGGTGAGGAGAGGCGTTTTCCATCCTCTGTTCATTTCCTGGTTGGTGATGCCTTGATCAGTCTGAACCAGGGACTCCATATAGATCTCCCATAAAGGATAAAGGGACTCACACACGTGAGCCTTCATCTGCTGCCTCCCAGGCACTTCAGCAGGAAACCAGCTCGGAAGTTAGCAGCCAGACAGGAGCACCCAACGGCTGCCTTGCCCTGTTGCACACAGCACCTGCCTCTGACCGGCCCAACCATCTCCTTTGACACTGAGTTATTACTGTGGAGATCGTTTCTGGAACCGCAAGGGGTTTAAGTGATTGTTAAGGGCTGGAAAATGACTTACATTGTGCCACAAAACTGACACAGCGTGGTATTTGAGAGCCTTTTTTGCGGTGTTGTGATGTAGCAGGCTAATCCTCTTCCTGAGACACTGCCATCCCATAGGGGTTTGACTCCCAGCTGCTGCACCCGGTTGCCTGCTAATGTACGAGGGAAAGCAGCAGAGGAAGACTCAAGTTCTGGGGTCCCTGTACCCATTGTAGGAGACCTGCATCGAGTTCTGACTTCTGGACTTGGGCCTGTCCCAGCCCAGCCCCAGGTGGTAGGACCATCTGAGGAGTGAACTTCATGTAAGTATTAAGGATTTGTGCGTTTATTTGAAAGGCAGATTTATACATATATATAGAGAGAGAGCTCTTCCATGTGCTTGTTTGTTTCTCAAGTGTCTGCAGCAGCCAAGGCTGGGCCAAGACAAAGCCCGTCTGAGTCGCCCATGTGAGAGGCTCAAGCCCTGGAGCCATCTTGGGCTGCTTCCCCAGGTGCGTTGGCAGGGCTCAATCTGAAGCAGAGCGGGCAGCACTCCAAGTGCCATTCCTGTGAGTGCTGGCATCAGGGTGTGTCCCAACCTACTGCATCCCGGTGCAGGTGGATATCAGTTAGAACATCTATGCGTATTGCTTGCTTCCTGGAAATACCGCAGCCAGCCATTTTAGGGGTTTGGTTTTCGAAATTAATCTGTTATGTTATCTGAGATTAACCTGTGCTGTATTTCTTTCTCTTTTTTTTTTTTTTTTTTTCTCATTTTCATTTTATCAGAGAGGCAGAGAGGAGCAAGAGGCAGAGAGTGTGCTGAATCACTCCCCAGATGCCCAGCAGTAGCCAGCACTGGGCCAGGCTGAAGCTAGGATCCCAGAATTCAGTGTGGGTCTGCTGTGTAGTTGGCCGAGGCCCAAGTACTTGAGCCATCATCTGCAAGGATACACTTTAGCAGGAGGCTGGATCAGAAGTGGAGCCAGGACTCAAACTAAGCACTGAGATGGGGTGCAGTCATTCCAAGTGGTGGTTTAACTGCCCAGCTTTGTGCCTTGATTCTGTGTAGCATGTGTACTCAGGTAATTGACAAGCAGAACAAAACCTATTAATTATCCTGACAAATGGAGTAAATAGCTTAGTCAAAGGGGACAGTGAGAGAAGTAAGTGCCTGTTTTCTTTGCTGAATGTATTTATATAAAGTATTTGTAGAATTACTGTGGTTTGTAGTATGGACTAAATCTTTCTGGTACAAGTCTGGCCATTTTTTACTATGCAGAGATGATTGAATTTGTATGTGATTATAGGATTACTTCTCTGTCAAGAAATGTTTTTTTTCCTGTGCCTCATAAAGGTCTAATGACAGGTGAGCAAGCTATCCGCTCTTAGAGGATATGTAGTATAGTGGTGCCTTTTTTTTTTTTTTAATGAGACAATTGTTAGTATTTTTGTTTAATTTTCAGACTTAAATTCTCCTTTTTACATAAAACCTGGAAGCTTAAAAAGACCCCAAAATCACATTCTCCATCCCCTTCCAACATCAGCTTTTTGAGCGACTTTTATCAGAAACTCTGGGGACTGGCATTGAGACGTAGCCAGTTAAGCTCCCACCTGGGATGCCGATGCTCCATACGGGTGCCTGTTGGAAGACCTGGCCGCTCCACTTCCAGTCCAGGTCCCTGCCGATGCATCTGGGAGAGCAGCAGAGGATGGCTGAAGTACTCACTTGGGCCTGTTTGTCACCTTTCTGGAAGACATGTATGAAGCTGCTGGCCTGGCTTCAACCTGGTCCGTCCCTGGCTGTTGGAGCCGTTTGTGTAGTGAATGACTGGATGGAAGATCTCTTTCTCTCATTTTTTACCTCTCCCTGCGCTACTCTTTCAAATAAATAAGTAAATCTTTTACAAATAAATGTTAATGTAAGTGATGTTAATTCTAAGTTGAGATACATACTCAAGGTTGTAGTTGTGGAAGATGTAGGAAGCCAAGGGGCAGGTGCATGGGACTGGCTCCCTTGTACGTGTTGTTGGAGGCCTCTTATGAACCTACAGTTATTTCAAAGTGAAAAACTTAACAAAAGAATTAAATTATGTTGTATTCATGTGGCTATATACTTTCACTAAGTATGTTACTTTATACAAAAGATTATACTGCCTGGCCCAGCACAGGAGCCTCTAGTGGCTGGGGTCCTCGCCTTACATGTTCCATGATCCTATATGGCACTGGTTCATGTCCCGGCAGCCCCGCTTCCCATCCAGCTCCCTGCTTGTGGCTTAGGAATGCACTCGAGGACGGCCCAAAGCCATGGGATCTTGCACCCCCATGGGAGACCAGAAGAGGCTCCTGGCTCCCACCTTTGGATAGGCTCAGCTCTGGCTGCTGTGGCTGCTTGGGGAGTGAATCAACACACAGAAGATCTTCCTTGCTTATTGCGTAGTTTTGTAGGGAAGGGCTAACATTTCAAGAGGAAGCACATTTTCTGTCATTATTACAAACATGAATGAGGGCAGGCGTTTGGAGTTGCAGCTACGATGCTGCTTGAAGAGCGTGCGTGTGAGTCCTCTGCTGTCCGTTCCCACTTCAGCTAATGGACGCGGGAGGTGATGGCTCAGGTCAGTTGGTCCCTGCCACTTATGTGGGAGGCCTGAATTACATTCCTGGCTCTGACTTGGTCCTGCCCTTCTGTGGACACAGGGGGAGTAAACCATCAGAAGGGGGATCTCTCTTCCCTGTTGCTTTGTGCCTTCAAATAAGCAAGTAAATGAATTGATTTTTAAAATCAAATAAGTACTAAATGTTTTATGAGAAAGTGAAGTGTAAAATATTATTCTATTCTTGATGAAATTATAATCAGTTAAGAATCAGAACTCTAGACCACAGCTATCAAATACAAATATAATTTGAGTTATGTGTCATTTAAAATCTTCTGATTCCCATGCTAAGAAGTCATAAGAAAAAGTACAATCCATATTATATTTTTATTTAGCTGAACATATTCAAAGTATTATTTCAGCATATAATCATTATAAAAACATGAATGACATTTTTTTCCCACCTTTCCGTTCAGACAAGCCCCATTCAGATACTTGTTAGCAGGTGTGTCTCAGTACTTAGTGTAGGGCAGCTCTAGGCTAAATAAGAAGGTGGAGACTTGGAGGAGTGAAGAGCAGTTAGTTGTGCAAGGCCAGAAGAAGCCTCTTACACGAAGTGTCACAGTCATAATCTCATACTGATATTTAATTTTAGGCGTTTTCTGTTAGAGCAAAGATCATTAGTAATGTTACTGTGCAGAGGGCCCCAGCACAGTGGCTCAGTGGCTAAATCCTCACCTTTCAAGTGCTGGGATCCCATATGGGCACTGGTTTGTGTCTCAGCTGCTCCACTTCCCATCCTTGTGGACAGAAAGCAGTAGAGGATGGCTGAAAGCCTTCAGACCCTGTACTTTTACGGGAGACCCGGAAGAAGCTCCAGGCCCCTGACTTCAGATCAGATCAGCTCAGCTCTGGCCATTGCAGCCAGTTAGAGTATGAGCCACTGGATGAAAGATCCTCCTGTCTCTCCTCCTTGCAAATCTGCCTAATAATAATAATAATAATCTTTAAAAAACATTACTACACTGAATTGATTTGTATAGCATAAATACTTCATTTAACATATGGCTCATGTTAGTAGTTATGGCTTCAGTTTTAGCAGTAATGAGGTCAGTACAATAAATGCTTCTATGAAGATACTCAGATCCTTGCTCAAAGATAAGGAATTGAAAAACCTAGACTTCATTATCACCACATAGTTGAGGGTTACATCTTTTTGTCATAATGAAACTTCTGTCCCCTTTTTACTTCTTTAATCTCTGGCATTCCAGCCATCTGAATGTGAGCTAGTTACATAAGCAGAAGAGTGGGGAGAGTCGAAGTTCCTTAGAGCTGGAAAGTAGAAGATAAGTGGACAGGTTACATTTCCTCTTTCCTTGGAGCGGGCATTGTGGCACAGTGGATTAAGCTTCCACTTGGGACACCAGCATGCCATTTCAGAGTGCTGGTTCTTGTCCTGGCGACTCCATTTCCTGTTCGGTTTCTGTGAATGCACCTGGCATGTTGACAGGTCATTCCTCGCAGGAGTGCTTGAGTGTCTGCACCGATGTGGCTTTTGGTGTCACCCTGACTCATCTCTGGTCTAGTTCGGATGCAGCAGGCATTTGGGAGTCAGTCAACAAATGGAAGCTGTCTCCCTCTCTCTCTTTCTGTTTTAAGGTTTTATTTATTTTTATTCAAAAGACAAATTTATGGAGAAAGGGGGAGACAGAGAAAGAGCATCCATCCACTGGTTCACTCCCCAAATGGCTGAGGTGGCCAGAGCAGAGCTGATCCAGAGCCAGGAGCCAGGAGTCTCCCGCAGGTCTCCCACACAGGTGCAGGGTCTCAAGGTCTTGGGCCGTCCTCTGCTGCCTTCCCAGGCCACAAGAGGGAGCTGGATGGGAAGTGGGGCAGCTGGGGCACAAACTGGCACCCTTTGGGTTACTGATGCTGGTAGGTGGAGAAATAGTCGGTTGATCTCTGGTGCTGGCCCCTTTCTTTCAAGTAAATACATTAAAAAGATTGTTTTTTTCTTCTTTCCTAGCTCTTTAAGAAAAAAAATTAAGTTACTTTTCTTTCTCTGACACTGGAATTGTGATTGCCAACATTGTATTCCTTATATAATTTTTATTGCTCTCAGATATTCTTTGGTACCATTAGGAATAATTATAATGAGTTTTTATATAATTATGTCCATATTTGGAGAGGACAAATTCATAAATATGACATGCATAAATTAGAGGTAATTGTTTAGGAGGAAAGCTCCCACCACTCTTCCTGGCAATGTGTTAAGTTCTGAATATTTATTAACCAAGTGTTAAAGAGAGATTTGGGTTCTTTCAGTTTTCTCCTGTCACAGCAATGCTAGTAACCCCTTAACCAAGCCTCCTAATTAGTCTAGACTTTACTACTTTCTTTTACAAAAGGAAGCTAGGATTGATACTGATTTGATGTTTTTTGACTCCAGACTTTGGAGATTTAAGATATTTTCACCAGTTAGATTTTGCTGTGGCGTTTGATATTATTCCAGGGTCACTGGAGCCATCTGCTGACAGAATTAATTTTGGGCGTTGGATTATTGTTCATTTGAATTTGTGCAAGATTCTAGGATGTTTTGTATATAATGAAATGTTGAAAGGAGCATTTTTAATTCTGCTTAGCTTTTGCTTTTGATTTCTTTATATTTAATTCACTATCAAGGCAGCAATATTTTTTCCGGCTCTTAAAGTGACTATTGGTTTGTTCTAGTTTAGAAGTATTTTCATTTAAATGTGGCTTTAATATGAAAGCATTTTTAAAGTTCTGTGCTAGTATTATTTAGATGTGTTGTAGCTTGTTCATTATGCATTTCATATGATTAAACATACTTTTGCTCTAAGTTTAACTCATGGTGCCACTGCACAGCTTACGGTGCCCATATAAGCACCTGTGATAGGGTACCATGCCACACTGCCCCTCATTTAGGCAAACTGTAGGTGACCTCTTCAGCAGCTCAACAAAATATAAGGAAGTAATTTTCCCACTTTTCAGAAGAAATGCTTGTTAGGATTAACCGTTTTCCATGTGAAGCAGGGGCCACGGTTCTTGGGCTGCCTTCCACACTGTCACAGGCGCTTTAGTCATGAGCTGGATCGGGAGTGGAACAGCTGGGACTCAAACTCAGGTCCTGTGGGATGCTGGTGTTGCAGGTGGTGCTTTTGCGCACGGTACCAGCCCCTTGCACTTTTTAGGAAGGTTTTTTTGTTTTGTTTTGTTTTGTTTTTAATTTGGCAGAAAAGGCAAGGGCAGACAGAGATCCCTTTTTGTGCTTGATTACTCCTCCAGTGCCTGCAATAACTGGGCCTGGACTGTGCCAAAGCTGGATCCCAGGACCCTCCTGGACCGCTCCTCTGGGTGGTAGGGACCGGGTGACTTGCCATATCACCTGTTGCCTCCTAGGGTCACATCAGCAGGAGGTTAGGGTTAGGAGGGGAAGTAGGCACTGCATGGAATGCCAAGGCCCCCAAGCCATCTTAGCCACGGAACCAAATGCCTGCACCCGTAATACACTTTTTTCATGAACACATTTTTCGTGAAAACCACATACACAAAATCTTAAAAAGACACTCGTTTAAATTTTATTTCTATCTTTTGATAAAGATCTTTTTTTGAAATCCTCAAAAAAAAGTTTACATTATGTGCAGTGGTTTAGATGTCTCTTGGGGCCCTGAAACCCCCCTTCGATGCCTGGGTTTCAGTCCTGCCAGCACCCATGACCCTGACCTCCTGCTTCTGCGTGCCCTGGGAGGCAGCAGGCAGTCACCCCAGCTCTGCTCCAGCACTGCCCCAGCCATCACAGACATCTGGAGAGCCATCTAGTGGATGGGAGGTCTCCTCTCTTTTCTCTGCCTTTGAAATAAATACAATAAATAACCTCAAATTACTTTGAAAGGAGTTGGTCGGCTCAAGCCACAAATCCTGCATGTTGCTTTTATCACTTATGGTAGATCTTGCACGTGCTCTTTAAGGAATTTTAGAAGACCCAGTAATATAAAGCAATCCAAGGCAGTTTGGCAGGTATCTATGTATTTGATGTTCATTTACAGTTTTGCACCTCCAGGGGTCCTTGTTATAAAAGAGTATCACATATGCAAGAAAAATATATGAAGTGTTGTTCAGTTATATCCATGTACTTTCAGTAGTAAAAATAGAAGCAATTTTTTTTTTTTACCAATAGGGAAACTATTATACAGGATATGATACATGTATAACACGAAATAAGTCTTATTACCAAGAGTAAGGTGGATATGTTGATGACTTTTTTTTTTGATAATTCATTCTATTTATTGAAAAGAGGAGTTAGGAAGAGAGAAAGGTTGGGTCTGCACCTGCTAATTCATTCCCCAAATGGGTGCAGGGGCCCAAGCACTTGGACCATACAAGTAGTATTAAGTTCCAGGGGAAGGTTTGGAATAAGAGAAAAGATAAGGTTGTCATGAAAAGAAAAATCATTGTAAGCACTGGCTCCATCATAAAATAAGGGTGCAGAAACAGATGTAGATTTACTACCAAATTAATCAACAAGAATTGGCCAAATTAGGTCTGATGAAGATGGGTATGAATAAAGATGCTAGGCAAGTGATGTATGTAAAACACTGAGCTAAGAAACTTCTACATCCTCAACAGCGTGGCGGTTGTTAATGCAGGTCTTATCAGTTAGTAATTGATTAATTACCATTACTTAATGGTTACCAGACTAGAATTGTTGATCCCACTATAGTATAGGCTGCTGTCTGGGTTTTTACAGGTATCCCCACATTCACTGTGAGGTTTTCTGTCCCCTAAATGACATTTCCAAGACCTCTTCTTTCTCAGCCAACTTAACACATTTGGGGGAATCTGAACACTGACATGTGCACTTCACGTTCAAGTCAAGATCTTTATACATTCAGTGTGTTGGTAGTCTTCCTTCAGCCATTTCCTCTTCAGCACGTATTGTTCTTTGGGCCACTGGACATGTAATGTTTGATATCTAGTATTTTTTTAAAATAATACTAGAGAAGGAAACTATTTGAATTTGAAATACTTATTTTACTTAAAATTTTTATTACATGGACAAGGATTTACTCCATCTTACCCACAGGATATCTGCCTGTTGGAAATAGATGTTGTGTTTTCATAAACGGTATTTAGCATATGTCTTTTTAAAATGCAAATGCAAATGAATAGAATTCTCTTTGATATGCAACTTTTTCTCCTTAGACCAGAATCTGTAGAAGCTAGCCCTGTGGTAGTTGAGAAGTCCAACAGTTATCCCCACCAGCTATACACCAGCAGTTCGCATCATTCACAGAGTTACATTGGTTTGCCCTATGCGGTAAGTATTAAACATTCCTCTTGAAGGAGATTTTTAAAACTTAGAGTTATAAAAGTAGATGTCTATGGCATTGTGCTCAGAACTGCATCTTTTAGAAATATAGTTATTTCATATTATCCAAAAAATTAGGTATAAAATTTATAAAAATTTTTCTTCAGTCTAACCAATTGGGATTTATTTAAGAGAAATGTATACATTCGAAGTTCCCTAAAGGTTTTAGTATTGTTATTTTATAACTTCTGCTCTTGACAGCTGGATATTCCATTCTGCTTCTCAAAAAGACTGTTATAATTTCCAGAGTAAATGACATAGTTACTGTATTTTGGCCTTGCTTTTAAGATGAATGCTTTTAAATATATGGCATTGCGTTTACTCATCTAATCCTCTGAAACAGCCTCATAATATTTTTTTAGATTTATAGCTGAAAAAATGTAAGCTTATGTAAGTTAACTTATTCAGTCTTACATAGTTATTAATGTAGATTCAGACATAGTCACGGAACTGATAACGTTTGTGATCATGTGGAGGCAAAACTATGGGCAATTTTCGTTGCCTGAACTAGAATAAAAATTTTCACAACTATGAAGTCCAAGTTGTATCTTATGGTGATCATGTGTGTTTTTGTTGTTGTTTTGTTAGTCCTGCATTTCTCTGCATTAGCCTCCTACACCTTGTACTTGCTTCCATTTCCAAGATGGAGTTGTGAAGGCAGATTAGGAGGGCTCAGAATGTACAGGTAGAGTTGACACAGAAAGATCTATCCACTGGTTCACTCCTCACATGGCTGCAGTGGTTGGAGCTGAACTGATATGAAAGGAATCAGGAGCTTCCTCCAGGTCTCCCACATGGGTGCAGGGGCTCAAGGACTAAAGCCCTTCCAGGTCATAAGTAGAGAGCTGGATTGGAAGTGGAGCAGCTGGGACATGAACTGGCAACCGTATGGTATGCCGGTGCTGTAGGCTGAGGCATAGAAGGCTATGCCATGGCACCAGTCCCCAATTTTCATCTTTCAGCTCCATAGTTCCACTTTTTGACTGTTCCTCATATCTTTGGAGTTTTGGAAGATTAAAGTTTGATTTGAAGGCAACCACTCCTACCTCATAGATACATTCACTTAATACTTTAGCTACACAGTCATTATTTTAAAGAGGTAAAGGAACAAACAGGCCAGTTTCATATCTCTTGGGCATTACATTAGTGGTGGAATTTTATTTAAGTTCCTTAATTCACAGTGTTGCTGAAATTCAATAACAGTGCTGTATTTGTGTTCATTATCCAGGACCATAATTATGGTGCTCGTCCTCCGCCAACACCTCCGGCTTCCCCTCCTCCATCAGTTCTTATTAGCAAAAATGAAGTAGGCATATTTACCACTCCTAATTTTGATGAAACTTCCAGTGCTACCACAATCAGCACATCTGAGGATGGAAGTTACGGCACTGATGTGACCAGGTGCATATGTGGTTTTACACACGATGATGGATACATGATCTGTTGTGACAAATGCAGGTAAAACATTTCACACCCATTAGTTTACTCTTCATTGCTACTGTTGGTTGTTAATGTTGCAAATATAACTAAAGTCACTTTTGAAGGAATTAACGAATGCAGTTTTAAAGTGGGTCTTCCAGCACTGATGATGCAGCTTATTTTGTTCCTTGGAGAAGGCATTTATGGAAAAGAAACAAACAGAAAGCCTAGCTTGGTGTATGTTAGAAACCCTTTGCTATGTGAGTCACGGATCATCAGTTTGAGCTTTATTCGTGTAGGCTCACATCTCCTCCTAGTCCGCCAGTAATCTGAGTACATAAAGCAGTAGACACGGCAGATGGACACTGAGTCCTTTGTATTTCCTTTGGAATTATTTGTGCTGTATAGTGAACTGCATTTTCCAGTTTGGGGAAAGTAAGCATTTTGATGGATGTTTGTTTGACCTGACTCTCTCACCTCCTTTTGACTTGAACCTTGCAGCACTCTGGAGTCTCCCCGAACCAGATCCAGACTCCCCTCCCCCAACCCTGGTCCAACCTCCAAGAAAGGCCTCCTCCCCTAGAGAAGGTGTGATTGGGACAGAAAGCGGGGTTTTGTTTTTTGGCTTTTGGGATTTTTGTTTTTGTTTTGTGGGGGAGACTTTGGGAGGATGGAGAGGGAACAGTAGGATTTGGCCGTAAAGTTCATGGGTCTGTTCCCTGCACGAGTGGAGAGCAGAAAGTATTGGCGCAGTACGGTGTAGACACAAGACAGTGTGGTAGCTTTGCGCCACTTCCTGTTTCCGGTCCTTAGCGTGTAGCTTCATTATTTGGTGGGACTAGAATGGCATATACCTGTATTTGAACCAAATTGTACAGAAGTAAATATAAGTTACTGTGTATTATTTATACTCTTGTTCCCATCTATTAGATTAAAGGTTGAGTATTGATACAGCTATGTAGTTGAATCATATTTCAAAAAGTTCATTAAATTTTGTCAAAATATAGGAAATCAGTGTTAAGTGGAATGTCAATTTTGGTAGTATTTTTATGGAAAGTTGTGTTAATTCTTGAGTCTATTTAAATGATAAAAAATTATAATACCTTTTCAATTTTAAAAATAAAATCCTCATTACCTGCAATGTATCTACATGAATAATGACCTTATAAAATTTACTCAGGATGTAAATTTAAAACTAAAAAATAATTTCAGTGAGATCTTTTATTATAAGCTATCAATTAAAAGAGCTTCTCGTAGCTGATTACATTGATGTTACAAATTACATAACACTTTGCATTATTTTTAATATATAATATAAGCAGTGTTTTTAATTATGGTAAATTATGCCTAATGTGTAGTTATCTCTTGGAAACTAGTTAAATTATACTTAGGATTTTTTATATTCATGTACATATTTATAAAGAAACAGTCTGGATTATTGAAGGTAATAGTGACTTCTTTTTATAACTGTCTTCTTCTTCTAATTTTCTGTTCCTCAGCCTGTAATATACTCCAAGACTTAATCTGTTTTCCTTTATTCTTCTTTCCATTCTCGTTGTTTTCATGATCCAATATTTGGTAGCCGTCATTTAAGCCTGACTGTCTACCCTCTGATTGTTTAGTCATGTCTAACCTTGGTTTCTTATTCTCGTGGCATCAATTACTTACTAAAAATTTCTGGTCACCCTCCTTGTGATCTGCTTTGCTTTTCCATCTCTTTGATGTGCCTTATATTATGCTTCACATTTTGCCAGTTTTTCCTGTAACAATCTTAGTTGAGAAGAACAGCACAAAAGTAATTAGTCCAGTAGTTCAATTGGAACTGGCTAATTGCTATGTATAGACTGGATAAGACTGGTTTTTGAAATATACGTGCCTGAAGGTACTTCAAAAAGTTAACCGAAAAATGAAATTAAAAGGAGTTTATTTTGTTAGAAAAATTATTGAAATATATGCAGTTTTTTCATATTATGTGTTTCTGCAAACCTTTACAAGACACGATATGTCAATTTTAGACAAATGGGTGTCTTGGCAAGAAAATGAAATTAGGGGACTATTGCTGTGGCACAGCGAGTGAAGCAACTGCCTGCAGCACTGGCATCTCCTGAGAGCACTGGCTCCAGTCTCAGCTGCTCTGCTTCCAGCCCAGAGTCCTCAGAACATTCCTGGAAGGCAGGAGAAGTTGACCCAGGCCCTCGAGCCTGTCACCCAGGGGGGAGGCTCAGATAAAGGCCACTCTGTGTCACTCTGCCTTTCAAATAAGGACATCTTCAGAAGAAAGGAGAGGAACAAAACATCCATAAGGAGTGTGACTTCTCTTGGTCTTCATGGGATACTTCCTGGATTGTTGAGCTTTTTTTTTTCCCCTGCTATATTTTAAACTTTATTCTTTATCTCTGCCCTGGAATGTTGAAAATATCTTAGATTTCTGACTCTAGCTACGTCACTTTTTTGAGTTAATACTGTATGCCACTGAAGCACTTCTCTTTGTTCCTGTTAATGGAGGAAAGCCGCAGCTGCTCCAGCATTTCACACTCTGTATGATTGCGCTTGGGCGATCAGTTCACCTGCTGTATTTTCAATACGAATAACCCCTTTATAGATGTTGGCTGTCCCCTCCTCCTGTTAATTCGTAAATGTTGCTGTGATGATGCCCTTTCTTTCTGTTTCCCGAGTGTTTACTGAGGCCCGTTAGTTTTTGAGGTGCTTTGCCAATGGATTCCAAGAGTGGACAATCCATTTTATGATTTCTAATACCATTTGTAGCCTATGCCTTTCTGTTTTGAAGTCGTATTTGCTGTTGAAATTTGTGTATCATGGATTTCTCGTTCTGGTTTTGCATTTTGAAATTTTATCCCTGTGAGGACAGATGTCTAAGAATCCCCTCACAGCATCATTTAGAGTGCTAAGCTCAAAGTAAGTGCTTTTTAAGGGACAGAGAGGAATATCACATCCTAATTTAAGGATGCTTTTAACATGTGACATGTTCTGCCTTTTTTCCTCCTTCAAGTGTTTGGCAACATATTGACTGCATGGGGATCGACAGGCAGCATATCCCTGACACATATCTATGCGAACGCTGTCAGCCTAGGTAAGTTACACATGCCAAGTAAAATTGCCAGAAATTTTATTGAAGTAATCTACAGCTAGCAGAAGTTTGTGAATTAATGAATCACTATGTTTTATCAACTCTAAGAAGAATTTTATGCTCATTGGTTTTGTAATCTGACATTGATAAAACTTAGAAAAATATTCCCTTTAACAGCATGTCATGGTCTGATTAGCATGTCATGGTTTGCTTTGTAGCTTTCACTAAATAACGAATAGAATAGTGGCACAACTACTCATTGATGGCATCTTTTTGTCAGTTAAGTGCACTGTAAGAAAAGTTACTAGACAAGGACTTTTCTCAAGTAAAGAATTTGGTAGGTCTGTCACTGCTTTGGTTTGCGGTAACTTTTCCCCTTTTTTTTCCTCCTTCCCTCCCTCCCTCCCTCTCTCCCCTCCCCTCCTGCCCTCTCTCCCTCCTCTCTCCTCCTCCTTCTCCTCCCCTCCCCTCCCCCTCCCTCCCCTTCCCGATGTATATTTTAAACCTATGTAAAAATTTAAAAATATAATGAACCTACATGTTTCTAAACCCCTGCTTCATTAATTGTCATTTTTATCTATACTGTCATGTATTTTTCTTCTTTTTACATTATTTTGAAGAAAAATGGCAGATAATCACATTATTTCATCTGAATGTATACATATGTATTCCAGTATATTATCTATAAAAGAATTACCTTTTTTTTTTTTAAAAAAAGTAGTTTGTCCTTATCTTCTGAAGCTTTGCTTTTAGTTACAGTCCAAACTATTAAATGCAAAATTCCAGAATAAGTAATTTCCGTTTTTAAACTGTGCACAGTTCTGAGCAGGGTGATGAAATCTTGTGTTACTCATTGGGACTTTAATCATCTCTGGCCGTGCATCTGGGGTTCTCACGGTACTGTGGTGTTCCAGCATGAGGCTTTAACAGTGACCCCAAGCACAGGAGTAGTGACGCTGCCAGCTTAGAAGTTGTGACGTGCTGCTTTGAGTATCATCTTGCATCATTTTAAAAAGGCTTAGTGGAGTGCTTTAAGATATTTTAAGAAAACATTCACATGACTTCTGTTACAGGGCAGTGTTAGTATTTGTTACAGTTTATTAATAGGCATTGTTAATCTTTTATTGTGCCCCACATATATATTTAACTTTATCATCAATGTGAATATATAGGAAAAACATAGTATAGTTAGAGTCACTAACTTCCTTAGGTCCAGGCATCTATTTGGGGTCTTAGAAGACACTTTTGAAGATAAAGAGGGACCACTATACTCACGAAACCATTAATATACATATAGCAAAATCATTGTAGCACTCTTACAACATCGATGGGTTGATATACAATTCTTAAGCCCCTAGTTCTCTTATTTCCCTACTCTGCTACCCTGTCACCTCTGTAATGATGAAGAAACTAGGTTGTTGATTCTTCTAGCCTTCGAATTGCCATAAAAGAGTATATAAACCCTCTAGGCTTGTTGATCACATTTAGGTTTGTTGTTGTTTTGATATGAATATTTCATAATCTGTACGCTGCCAGGTAGCATCTAATAATGATGCCTCTAAGACAAGAATCGTTGACAGTCATTTTTAAAAAACTGCTAATTTATTAGGGGTTGCAGATTAGCAATACATGATTTCTGTTGTTTATCACCTAATAGCTGCACTATTCAGAAAAAAACACCTCCCGAAAATGAAGTATGAATTGTGAATGTTCAGATGTAAGCATAGAGGATCCTTATCGATGCTTAATCACCGAGCACCTCTGTCTACTGCAGTGCTGTCTGATAGCTTCTTCACCTGCTATGACAACTGTCTCAGGCTTATTTCACACTTCTGTGGCTGAAACTCAGAACTGGCATTCAAGGCCAGAATCCATCATTTTCTTCTGGATGGGTCACCGTTCCTCATTTATTTATTTAACAAAACTAGGAATGTTTGTTTTTATGATAAAATATATGAGTTTATATTGACACTTCAAGTTCAAATTCAGAAATATAAATTTTGTGTAACCATGTTTATAGTTGTATCTCCTTTTATCCTGACATTTAACAACACAGATGGTAATGTGATTAGAGTGTCACATAATTAATTGTTTAATCCCATGGAAGATTACAGCAGTCTGCAAGCATCAAGAGCAAAACCAACACTAACAATATGATTGTATAAAAAATTTAGAACAGTTTTTTCTCTTGGGGGTAGACCACGTGATGCTCGATCAGCTTACTGTATTGGAATGGCCCTTGAAAGAATTTAATTATGATCAAACCATCACTTATGTTTAAGTTACTAGCTTTATTTTATTTGTTCATTTTTTTAAAGTTAAACAGTTTGAATTAGTGGTATGGTCATATCCAGTTGTGACGTGATGTTAAAGGTCTTGTGAACCTTTGACCAACTTTAGTAGTAGTGCTTTAAAAGCCGTGATTGATATAGAACCACAGCTGGGATATTGCTGTTGAAGGAGAGAAGGCACAGAGCAGGACCATCCCACAGGCCCCCCTCATGCTATCTTCTGTAGCCACGTTTCCCCTAATCCTCACCTGACTTATGGCAACCACTAAGCTGTATACCGTTCCTATAATTGTATTATTTCAAGAATGTTATATACATGGAATTAAATAAGTTGATGATCCAGCATGTGAATGAGCCCTGAGTATAATCCTCTGGATAGTCATTCTAGTTGTTGCAATATTTTATGAGTGTGTCAGTTTTTTTATTATTATTTTTTATTCCTTAGTAGTATTCCATGACATACTGAGTACTGTGCATGTTCGTTGTTACGACAATGTCACACTCGTAAGCCTTTTCACTTGCAGAAGACAAAGCATTTCAGAAAGCTCATGGAAAATGAATTAAAAGTTAACTTTACTAGGGCCAGCACTGGTACAGCTAGTGAAACCAATGCCTGAGGTATCATTAGCTTCCCACAGAAATGCTGCTTTGAGCCCAGGCTGCTCTGCTTCCCACCCAACTCCCTGTTAATGTTTCTGGGAAAGAAGCAGGAGAAGGCCCAAGTGCCGGGGTCCCTGGATGATTTCTAGGTTCCTGGCTCCAGTGTTCCCGTCCTCAACCTCCACAGCCATTTGGGAAGTGAAACAGGATGGAAGATCTCTTTCTGTGGCCCCCACCTGCCCTCCGCCGTGTCACTCTGCCTTTTGATTAAAAAAGTTTTCTGTTGCGCAAAAAAAGTTGAAATCTATGGATATAATTTTTTTCATAATGTGCATTTTCCATAAACCTTTGAAGATCCCTCATAGATATGGAATGTATGAATTTGTGTTTGTTTCTGGATAAATGTAATTATATCAATGTTTATGTGATTATACACATACACGTCAGCATTTGAGGACGTTTCAAGGGTTCAGGGAAAAGAATTTAGAGATAATTATATTTTACTACCAAAAATTTTTCTGCACAGGTATTTATGTGCATCTTAGTTTTCTCATCTGTGGAACACATGCCCAGGTGTGGTTAATAAACGCCTACTAAGGGCCTCGGTTGTCTGGTGGTTTCATGCTTCATCTTAGGGGAAACTGTCAAACTGTTTCCAAAATGGTCATCTCATTTTATATTTATGCCACCTCAAATATATGAGTAGTCAAGTTATTTTTTAAAAGATTGACTCCTTTAAGTTGGAAGAGCAAATTTACAAAGAGAGAGAGAGAAAGATCTTCCATTTATTGGTTCACTCCCCAGAGAGCTGTACCAGCCAGAGCTGAGACGATCTGAAGTCAGGAGCCAGGAGCTTCCCGATCTCCTGCATGTCTGATGGGCCCAAAACTTTGGGTCATCCTCTAATGCTTTTCTAGGCCACAAGCAGGGAGCTGGATGAGAAGGGGAGCAGCTGGGAAAAGAACCAGCACATATATGGGATGCTGGTGCTTGCAAGGCCCAAGGATTAGCCAGTTGAGTCATTGTGCCAGCCCCAATTTATTTTTAGAATTGCTTTTAATGTATTCTTGCATAATAACTTAATGAAACGGGTGGCTCTGTTATCTTGAGTTAATTTTGTAGAACAAACTATATTCAGAATAAGTCCAACATAGATATGTATCTATGTATTTGTATTTCTTCCCTCTCCTAGGTAAGCAGTAGTATATTATGTAGAATATTTGGCACATTTTATTCACATGTAAAAGCTCAAAATCATAGCAGCATGTAGAGACCTGTTCATTTCTGTCTGTAATTTCGAAGTACTCTTACCTTTTTCATGGAGCATGGTTTATTCAACCATCCCTTTTGGGTAGGCATTTTTCAGTCTTTTCTTGCTGTGAATGGAATTGGGACTGTGCAGTAAAGGGACAAATATACCTATAAAATGTAGTCAGTCAGTGACAGTTCCCCTTCAGTAGGAGCTATGTAATTTTGAATTCTTTCCAGTAATGGGTAAACATGCCTGTTTTCCCAAACCTCACAATAATGTTTTGAGAAACTTGGCTTTTTGCCAGTTTAACTGGTGACAAATGTTAACCTCGGTTACACTTCACATTTGTCTTACTGCGAGTTGAATCCTTCTAGTAGTTTTATTTCATGATTTTTTTTTTTAACAGATAGTGGCTTTTGTTATTTGAACGGTACAGTGACAGGAAGTGCTTTTCTGTTACCCTGGTTCATTCCCCAAGGCCAAGGGCCTGCAGCTGCATCCGAGTCTGTTATGAGGATGCAAGGAATGCCGAGTCCTTGAGCTGCCTCCTGTTTTCCCAGGCACATTTGCAGGGAGGGAGGTGGGTGAGAAGCAGAGTCCAGTACTCCAACAAGCGCTATGATGGAGAAGCTGAGGGCTGTAGGCAGCGCCTTCACTGGCCCACCTGCCTACCTGCCAGATAGTTTTTGGTGGAGTAAGTATCTGTAGTTGGATTCATTAAGAGTTGGTTAAAAAGTAACCATTACACAGGGACCACTTGAGAGGTCTGCTCAGCTGTGTGACAGCTAGGACAGCTATCTGTAACAGGGAAGAGAATGACATGTCTTAGACATTAATGCACATCTACTACTGAGTGTTAGATGCTTCAGTCTAGGGCCTTTTTTCTCTCATCAGAATAAACTAGGGTAATTTATATCTGAGCTCTAGACAAAAATGTATATGCAATTAGAAAGTTGAGGGAGAAAAGAATGATGTATTCCACGAGCACAGGCTGGGGAGGTGAAAAACGTGCTTCTTTTCCAAGAAGACGAGTTCACTGTGAAACAGCCACTTCAGTAGGGTATCTACTGCTAAATGCTAGAGCAGATCTACATTGTAAGGCAAAGGATGCGGCACGTGTTTTAAATTTTAATACTGTTTCTCACTAAATACGAAATTATAAACTGTCACATTTAAAACAGATCTGCTTTGTACTTAAATTTATGAAAGTTTGATAAGTAATCATGTTAATATTCTAATGTAGGAGTTTGGACAAAGAAAGAGCAGTGCTTCTACAACGCCGGAAGAGGGAAAATATGTCAGGTGGGTAAAATGGATTTATTGAATTAAATGTAACAGAATAAATGGCGTGCGTATTTTTAGTTAGATATTAATACCTTATTGATGAATTTGATTATAGGCATCATTTACAATTTCTGGTATAGATTTTTTACTTTTTTGTGCATTGTAGAATATGTACTAATAGGAAGTATGGAAGCTAAAGTCATCTAAGTTTTCTAATCACTGTGTCGCTTAGTCATAGGTAATTTACTGGTTTAAGGAAGTCAAATAGGTCATTTTCGAGGAAGATGGTGATCCATTAGCTTATGTGGAATGATGTTTGATTTTTAGGAACAGAATTTTTTAATTTTTATGTAATATATGCTACAGTTCTCATTTTGACTTTAAATATGTCGCTAGTGATACAACTGGTTGTGAATAATTGTGGTTTATTTAATCATTCCTGTTTGATGTACATTCAGGTAAATTTTAGCACTTTTGCTTATTTTGTTTTTGTTGTTACATATAGTGTCTTCAGTGAAATCCTCTTGGATAGGTTTTATAGGTTTTTTTTGTTTTGTGTGTGTGTAATACTGAGATGTGACTTGCTGTATCAGTTAACTCCTCCTCTGGAGGGAATCCTGACTCCGCCCGGCAGTGCTGGGAGTGCTCGTCGGCACAGTTGTAACCTCAGCATTTGCTGTCATTCCTTTGGTTCCCTTCCGGCTTAATGTATGAGGGGATATTTGCAATTGTGCATTCAGATGTATCTTAGAAAAAGTCAGGTGATGAAGAAGTAAAAGATGTGTTTATTCTTTGCAAAGATGGAAATAATACTTGGTTGTGTGGGGTGCTATTTTTTATTGTTTGGAATAGAAATATTGCACTTGTAACTTTTTGTTTTGCCTTTGCAGATGGTGATACCAGCGCTACTGAGAGTGGGGATGAGGTTCCCGTGGAGTTATACACCGCATTCCAGCATACTCCGACCTCAATCACTTTAACTGCTTCCAGAGTGTCCAAGGTGAATGAGAAAAGAAGGAAGAAAAGCGGGGAGAAAGAACAAAACATCTCAAAGTGTAAAAAAGTATGTTTTTACTGTTTTAGAAGTGGTTAAATGGCAGAGTCCAGAGGGGGCTAAGTTCTCCAGGACAGGCAGGAGACAGCAGTGGGAGGCCGCCAGCAGGGCTTTCTTGTAAAAAATTTACTTGAAAACGTTAATGTGTTTCAAAATTGTAGAGAATTGAGGCTTCTTATTTGTTGAATTTCTTATAATACATATGTATTTTCAATTAAATTTTATCTTACAAATCATCCCTAGGGTCTAATGGCAGCAAACTATTTTTATAAGCTATTATTCTTTAAATTTGCATATTTCTGTCTTAGCATATCATAACATATGCATATTTTCTACATAGTCTATGTTAAATTGCCAAATTCTAATAATATTTTCCTACCTGTAGCTTTTTAGGTTGTTGCCAGATTATTATTTTTTTTTTTTTTTGCATTTTGACATTTCAGTAAAAAACTGAAATGAATAAGGTGATTCTGAAGTGTTAGTTACATCTAATTTTCCCAGAGTCTCATGTTTACCCAGAATTTTATGTTTATTTTAGGCCTTTCGTGAAGGACCTAGGAAGTCATCAAGAGTTAAGGTAACTACACATTAAATGTGGTATTAATTATAAATATTGCTAATTATTTAGGAACTTACTATCTTTATGTTCTCTCCACTGTTTACAGTTTCATTGCTTTTTATCTTTTCCAGAAGTGGGACCTTAGAGAAATCTAAGTGTATTAATATATTACTTTTGTAATCCATTGACACTGGTAAAACACTCATCCAAAGGAAAGACATAGGAGAGAACTTCAGAAAGTTCATGGAAAAATAAAAATTAAAAGTTAACTTCTTTTGCTGAAAGGAATTTTGTCACCTATGATGTTGAGTTTTCAAAGGTTTATGAAAGAATATATAAAGCCCATGCATGTATTTCAGATATCTTGTACGCTACAATAAATTTATCTTCTCAGTTTCCCACAAATACTTTGAAGTACCATCCGGAAGCAGTTTTAATTTCCAGTAATTTAGATTTCATTTATGGATGTATTCCATATTCCCAATACTACTTTATGTTAGAAAATACACACACACACACACACACAGGTGTACAGTTCCTATGAATGCAGAAGCTCGTGTGAAGGACACATACTTGCTCTTTTGCATAATTGGGTTTTTTCAGCCTGCACTAGTGCCAACTATTGTGGCCACATGGGGAGTGAACTACTGGAAGATTTTTTTCTCTCTTTTCTATCCCTCTGTAACTGCCTTTTAAATAAGTAAAATATAAATGTTTACATAAATAAAAAGAATCTTTTTTATTTTTAAGATTTATTCATTTTTATTGGAAAGGTAGATATATAGAGAGGAGGAGAGACAGAGAGGAAGATCTTCCATCTGATGGTTCACTCCCCAAATGACCACAACAGCTGGAGCTGAGCCAATCCGAAGCCAGGAGCTCTTCCAGGTCTCCAACATGGGTACAGAGTCCCAAGGCTTTGGGCCATCCTGGACTGCTTTCCCAGGCCACAAGCAGGGAGCTGGATGGGAAGCAGGGCTGCTGGGATTAGAACCGGTGCCCATATGGGATCCCAGCGCATTCAAGGCGAGGACTTTAACCACTACATTATTGGGCCAGGCCCAATAAAAAGAACCTTTAAAAAAATAAGAAAATCACAGAAATTTCATTTGCCTTTTTTTTTTAACTGTTGCTTGACATTGATTCTTTGAGTATTTGCAAATATTTTATTGGTATCCTCTATATGGCTACAATAGTGACAATAAAACTTCAAATTGTGCTATTCTAACTTAATTTATCCTCTTTCAGTTTCTCAACTCACATTTGCCTGATACTTACGGAGTCAAATTGTCATTTTTGCTGGTTCCTTTTATATAGATTTGGGTGTGCGTGTATCCACATTAGATTGAGCTAGTCATGCTCTTTGCTGTGATTTCAGGGCTCTGCTCCAGAGACCGACCCTTCATCTGATGGTTCACATTTTGGCTGGGAAACAAAGATCAGAGCGTGGATGGATCGGTATGAAGAGGCCAGCAGTAACCAGTACAGTGAAGGTGTCCAGAGGGAGGCCCGGAGGCTGGCCCTGCGGCTGGGCAGTGGCAATGACAAAAAGGATAGGAATCCATCAGATCTGAATACTAACAATTTACTCTTTAAACCTCCTGTAGAGGTAAATAGATCCCTTGTCAAACTGTAAAAAAAACTTTTTTCAAATTTTTTCTTTGACTGGAAAGCAACCGGCTTTAATTAATCTCAACATTTATTCTAATTTTAGAGCCATATACAGAAGAATAAGAAAATTCTTAAGTGTGTAAAAGATTTGCCCCCTGATGCACTTATCATTGAATACAGAGGGAAGTTCATGCTGAGAGAACAGTTTGAAGCAAATGGATATTTCTTTAAAAGGTATATTCATTTCTTTTGCTGTGTTTATTTTCTGTAGTTGAGTACTGAATTTTTTCTACCTGGATACTGTGATTTTAACAGAGACCTTCCCAAAATGTATGGAAAGTGTCTTTTAAGAAAAAAATTATGCATGGGTTCACAGTTTTTTCTTTTGCACCAAAATGAGCTTTGCTGCTTATACTGTTTTTGTGTAAGCTTTTTGAAGTACCTTTGTATGCATTTTATTTTCTTACGTAGCATAATTGATAACCTTCAAACTGATGTAAAGCAAAAGAACGAAAGAGAAAGGTGTGCCCGGCAGTCTCTCCCATCGGATTTTGCCCAAACCCATCGATCTCACAGCTGGCCCAGCTGTAGTATCGATCGCATGGGTGTGCAGGGTGGCAGTCAAGCACTCGGATGACTTGAGGTTCTACCTTTTTCATCTAGGACCTGAGTTAATTAGAACAGAAGCCACGCAGACACAGCCCCTGCCTCGTTATTAGAGGCTCGACTTGGTCCTGTATTATTGCACTCGTTTCCCACCCCCACTTCGTTGGTCTGGGAATGATTTTGAAATCCATTTTCATGGTTTGCAGTTTTTGTGGAGATACTGACACAACCCTGATAGCCACTATCTCCCTATTTGTATATTTCTATCTGAAGGGACCCGTCTGTATGCCTAGCATGGATCTTAGAATTAGTGAAAATATTTCTTGTGTAACTTGGGTCTATACTTAAGATATGGAAGATTTTTAAGAATTTTTTTTTAAGCTTGATTACTTTGAAGGTCAGATTTACACAGAGAGGGAGAGACAGAAAAAGAGAAGAGAGATCTTCCATCTGCTGGTTTGTCCCCTAGATGGCTGTAACAGCCAGTGCTGGGCAAGCTGAAGCCAAGATACAGAGCTTCTTCCAGGTCTCCCAAGTGGTGGTAGAGGCTCAAGTACCAGGGCCATCTTCTGTTGCTTTTTCCAGACCATTAGCAAGGAGTTGGATTGAAGTGGAGCAGCCAGGACTCAAATCGGCGCCCATATCGGATGCTGGCACCACAGGCGGCAGCTTTACCAGCTACACCACAACGCCTGCCTCAAGAATCCTTTCTTATTATGTAGCAAATTTGATCTTAACCCGTTAAGTCCTAAGTTTTTAATTCTGAGAGTATTTCAACAACATATTTTTGTTAAAGTTACTGTAAGTGGTATCTTTACTGCTCACATTAAATTTTCATGGGGACATAATGGGGTAAGCGTGGGGGACACGTCACTTTTCAATGTCCAGAGTGTGGACTTCAGAGGCACCTAAGTGTGCCTGCTCTGTGGAGGCAGTACTCACTGGCCTTCATGTCATTTTACATTTGAATTTCTACTTCTGTTAACTGTCTTTGACTTGGATAATATTAGAGGAACAGATCATTTTTAGTATAAAATCAGTCTTAAGAGTGAATTCTGGAGTAAAACTGTTTGTATTCAAATCTTAGTTTGACTACTTCAAAGTTTCTTAAAGTTCTGTTTTTAAATTGTTTCTAAAAAATAACAAATTATATACTATTATAGTTGTTAATGGCTTTTACTTTTTTGTTTGTTTGTAGACCATACCCTTTTGTTTTATTCTACTCTAAATTTCATGGGCTAGAAATGTGCGTTGATGCGAGAACTTTCGGGAATGAGGCTCGGTTCATCAGACGTTCTTGCACGCCCAATGCAGAGGTAAGCTCATCACAGAGTGTGCTGGGAATGCATTCAGTGCAAGACTCTTAATAGCTTGAAATGCTTATAAACTGTAGATGCATTTTGTGCTACCCTGCCGCTTTCTATTAAAACATTGCAGAAACTGTGCCGTTGCTTTCAAGAGGAAATCTAGGCTGACTTTGTTTATTGTAGAGTCAAATATGTGCTGTGATTGGACCAAGTCAAGATGACAAGGCTAAAGTGGATTTTTTTTTAAACATTGATTTGCTTGAAAGGTAGAGATTCTTCTTCTGCCAATTCTCTGCCCAAATGGCCACAACTGCTGAAGCTGGGCTGGTCCAAAGCCAGGAGCCAGGAGCTCCTTCTGGGTCTCCCATGTGGGTACAGGGGCACAAACACTTGGGCCATTCTCTGCTGCTTCCCTAGGTACACTAGCAGGGAGCTGGATCTAACAGAGCAACCGGGACTTGAACCAGTGCCCGTATGGATTCTGGCACTTCCGGGGGCAGCTTTACTCACTAAGTCGCAGTGCCAGACCCTAAAGTAGATTTTATATGTGCTACTATAAAGTTCATAAAATTACATTTTAGTTGCTTATAAAGTAATGTTGGTTTTGTTTTCTGCATCCCAAAACAAACAAACATGTTTTAAAATGTTTATTTATTGGATGGAAAGGACAAAATTACAGAGAGGGAGGAAGAGAGAGATCTTTCATCCACTGGCTCACTCCCAAATGGCCACGACCAGTAGGGCTCGTCCACGCTGAAGCCAGAAAGCTGGATGTCCATCCGTGGGTTATCTTCAGCTGCGTTCCGAGGTGCATTAGCAGGCAGCTGAGTCAGAAACGAAGCTGGCAAGATCGAGAGCTGTGCTCCTACAGGGTGCTGCTACCAGAGGCAGCAGCTCCCCTGGCTGGGCCAGGGAAGACTTTATGTCGTTGGACCTAACACTGTAGCTGTTTGAACAGTATGTAGTAGATCATGCGTTCTTGACCTAGTAGGTTTGTGATATTACCTGTCCTTCAGTGCCATCTTGTGATACTGAGGACTAAAGGCGTATAAGGTATCCCAGGTACAGCATTAGCTATGCCATGATGGCATGTCACCACAGCTCCAATGCCATCAAATGCAAGAGATGCACAAATACACATCTTAGATGGTAAAATACTTTTTTGGGGGTATGGGACAACAGGGGATGCCATATGGTGGGCTATAGAGATGGGATTGGCAGCAGGCACCACCATACATTTGAAAAACTTCCTGCTTAATAACCACTGATATATGGTTAAAAGTATTATAACTAGTGGCATTTTCCAAGTTGTGTTTTTTAAATACTTCAAGTACTTTTCAAAATGAATAAGATGCTTCTAAAGATAGAATAATTTCATATTTCTATAAATGATTTTAACTAACAGGTGAGGCATGAAATTGAAGATGGAACCATACATCTTTACATTTATTCTATACAAAATATTCCAAAGGGAACTGAAATTACTATTGCCTTTGATTTTGACTATGGGAACTGGTAAGTTCAAGTCTATAAATGTATCATCTGTAATTAAGATATTGTTACTTCTGTAGCTTTTATTTCATATTATAAAATAGTTAAAATACAGAAATCATTTTTTGTATCAACTTCCATTATATCATTGTTGCCTAATTAATTCTTTTCTAACTTTTCTCCAAGTACTATTGCAATGTAAATATTTAACAATTAGTAATTCTAATTCAGACAACACTGATCTTTTTTGAGAGTTTTTATCTTGTATTTTAGGGGATATAATTTAGTCATACAACATATTTGGTCAATCAATAGGAATAATTTATTTTTAACTCTCAAAAGAAACCAATGCCAAATATTTTTTTTTGCAATGTAAATTCAAACGGTTTGCTGCATATACTTCAAAGATACTCAAAACTTTTGTTCTGAAACAACAGGAAAGAAAATATTAATTCTGAAAATAGAAACATACCTAAGTTTTTCAAAAATTTAAAATAGGGCTAGGCATTATGGTGTAGCAGGTTAGGCTGCTGTTTGGGTTGTAAGCATTCCATGAGCCCAGCTTCCTGCTGATGCCACCCGGGAGGCGGCAAATTACGGGCAGGTATTGTAAGTCACCCTGCTACCCACAATGTAGCTTGTGGCCTTGGCTTTGACCTAACCATGTCCTAGCTGTGCCAGGCATTCATGCGGTGAATCAGTGGAGGGAATCGCCCTATCACTCTGCCTTTTAAGAAAATGAAAATACATGGGTTTTTTTTTATGGCTTTTTAAACCATCTGCTTTAAATTCTAGTGTAGTCACTTACTAGCTATGCCATCTCGGACAGAGTTCTTCAGCTCTTTGTACCTCATTTGCTCAAATATACCATAGGAATAATAATACTCGTTTAACAGGAATGCTTCAAAGGGTCATTGAGTTAACGTATAAAGTGCTTAAAACTACTTCTGGGACTAAGCATTTAGAAGTTAGATGCTGCATCTGATACCGTCCTGCTCTGGATTTTGAGTTCTGCCGATTACACTGTGGGAGCAGCAGGTTTTGGCCCAAGTACAGGGCTTACTCCATCACCTTGGGGACCCACACTGAGTCCCTGGGTCCTAACATGGGCTAGCTAGCTGAGAGACCTACACTGAGTCCCTGGCTCCTTGCTTGGATAACTCTATTGGGAGATCCAGACTGCCTTCCCAGCTTGTTGCCTGGCCCGGCCCAGCCCTGCTCGTAGGGAATTTGGGGACTGCACCTATGGCTGGAAGTTTGTCTCTCCTTTCTCTGCCTTGTGGGAAAACAAAACTGTTCATAGCACAAGCTACAGGCGCTCTTTGCAGTTCTGTCATTCTAAATTCAAAGAAAACACCTAGAATTACATAGACCAGCACTGTAGCCCCATCACTTATGTTAACTGTGTGACCTTGGTCAGAATACTGACCTGCAGTAAGCTTTGAATTCATCTGTAAAATAGGAGAATTATCATTACTGTGAAAATGAGAAACAGTGCACTGTTTTTCAAGGTTCCATCTGAAAAGGAAACAAACTTTTTCAAGGTAGCTGTGTAAGAAAACTGGACATTGAAATCCCTCCTTAAAGTAGAAGACAAATTAAGTTTATGTCTGGTGTTTACTAGACATTCTCCTTTTATTGGACTTTTGGACAGCAGTTTATCCACCATTATGGGGTCAATGCAGTAATTCTAGTTTTGACCATCATAGTGTTTTTTGTAAGTTAAATAATGTGTCAGTTTTTTTTCTGTAACATATTAATATTTACCTTAAGGCCAGATCTGTGGTCAGAAATCATATTGTTTTATTGTTTGCTAGTAAACAAATATAAGGATTGCTTATAATTTTGCTTTGTTACATCTTAAAATAGATTAGAAATTCTCCAGTTCTGATATTTATGTAAATAAATATTTAACTGCTTATTGTTCCAGTAAGTACAAGGTGGACTGTGCATGCCTCAAAGAGAATCCAGACTGCCCTGTTCTAAAACGTAGCTCTGAGTCCACGGAAAACATCAGTAGCGGTTATGAGACCAGGAGGAAAAAAGGAAGAAAAGACAAAGAAGTTTCCAAAGAAAAGGACACACAAAATCAGAGTATTACTTTGGATTGCGAAGGAACAACCAACAAAATCAAGAGCCCAGAAAGCAAGCAGAGAAAGCTTTCTCCATTGAGACTGTCCGTGTCGAATAATCAGGTACTCCGCTAGTGTTGGTGCGTCACAAGATAGAATTAGCAAAGGAAAACAACACTACGTACTTGAAAGTTTGCTGATTTTTAAGTGCATTCTGTTTGTTCAATGCAGTACTTACAGGCGTAAAATACATTATGCTTATTTATACAATATTCATTAAATTAGGGAAAAGCCAGTGTTATCTCAGAATTGAAATATTTACAGAATTAAACGTGAGATTTTCCTAAAAGTGCATATGTTCAGAAAAATCTTGCAGGGGACACTTTCCTTATAAAGTCCTACCATAAAGTCTTCTGCTCTTGAGTATCTGAAGCAAAGTAACATATCCTCTAAAGGAGTTGTAATCAACAGAGGTAAGAGTGCTAAAGTCGCTAGCGTCACGGTGCTGGTGGTGAACTTGGACCTATACTTTGGTCCTGGAAGAACTGGACAGCACCATTAAAACTGGAAAAATTAAACTTTTGCTCACTTCCATGGCCCTAACTAAATTTTAGGAAGCATTTCCCTTAAGTTCTAAATTGGATGTATTAATTAAGCACTTTGTACTTGCAGGGTTTGTGAAATAACATGTATATTTTGGGGGAAGAATATAAACGTAAGGCCACACTATCATATTTAGCCTTGATATGCTTTTTACCCATTAGAATTTTATTGGCTAGAGTTAAAAAAATAATTTGGTGCAGTTTTGGAAAAAGATTTTTGATTTAGAAAACCGGTTTTGATTGGGTTTGTAATTTTAAATATTGACTTACTTGCTAGATACATAGTTGCTACAAAGAAGTCATTTCTGCCTTTCAGGAACCAGATTTTATTGATGACATAGAAGAAAAAACTCCTATTAGCAATGAAGTAGAAATGGAATCGGAGGAACAGATTGCGGAAAGGAAAAGGAAGATGGTAAGTAGGGAAGGCAGCAGCTGCTTCCCACCGTCACGGGGCCTGGGGCTGGACTGCGGCCTCCACACTGCTCTGTAGCCTGGGCCGAGTCGGGGCCACGCGTGCTGCTGGGCACCGGTGCTGGCGTGATCATGAGCATTTCAATAAATTCCACCAGTTCTGTGTTTTTACTGGGTTTTCATCAGCTATTTGGGATTGCAAAACATTCTAGCAATATTTTAACAATTTTGAAGCTACCAGTACTGTTCCGAATGTCTCAGGACACAAGTAGAATGTTAGACCTTAGAACAGCCCACAGAATGACTCCCCCAGGAACACCGCGCCACTCTGCTGTCACCCCCAGACCCCTCGGGGCGGCCGTGGTGGTGGGCTTGCGCGACATTCAGCTCAGGTTTCCTTGAACTGAATGTATATATTCCTTTCACCTTTTATATCCACTGTTTCATCAGTATGAAAACTAGCAAAGATACTTTCTCACAAACTGGTGGTAGTTGGCATTAAAGATAATGCAAGTAATACAACTAATACAATAACAGAGTACTTTCAGTGCCCTACAACTGGAAATTGAGTTATTCAGCTGTTGTATTCCTAGGCTTTCTCTGTTCTTTTTAGCAGATATGCTCCCTTGTTTACTGTTGAAGGGGTTTTCATGCTGCATTCTGAGGAACTCCCTGTCACATGTGTAGGGTGAGGGCTTTGTGCAGTCATCATAGATTAGTGGGGGTCTCTTCATCAGCTTGACATTCTCCCAGTGTTCAAAATTACGAAAGAAGGACCAAACTGTTTCATAGTCTTAAGCCTGGAAACGACTCTTTTTGGAAGCACAATAGTAACAGAGACAAGAAAAATAAATATAGGGGGAAATATAGGAGGAAGCTGATGATTCAAAGACTCCATCTTATCTGTATTGCCTGTGCCTCCCGAATTCCGTACAGATCCTTTTTGACTATTCATTTCAGCACTATCTGTTCCATAACTGCCAGAATATGTATCTGCAGATGGAGAATTCTGTATAAATCCTGCAAGAACGTAGAAGGGACCCATTTACAGAACTGGTGTTGGGGGCATTTATCTAGAAAACTAATTTCTTGTACAGTTAGCTTTAGACGCTGCATAGCAGTCACTTGAAAAAGTACATAACATTTTAAAAACCACTGATCAGACAATAATTTTATGCAGACTGCATTCTGCATAAAGTTTACAACTATGGGGCTACTTTGAAAGTATCTATCCTTAATTCTGAGAAAGAACTTAGAAAAATTTTCAAATCTCAGAGGAAACAATGTCTTTACTGCTGAAGTGTGCATGTGCGTACATAAGGGGCTTCAGCCAAGTTCCTATGAACTGTTTGCAGCCCCTTCTTAAATCATAAGTATTTATGCCCATCATTAATATATATGCCTACTGGAATACATCTTGCTTCTGATTATTTTATCAATATAGAGTAATAGGTTTTATACCTATTTTAGTGTAATCACTAATATCTGCCTGCAAGGAAGCTATGCAGCTGGGTGTTTTTCAAGCAAATAAAATGTGGAGAAGCTGGAAAGGGTAAATGCCTATTACTTGGTACTTTGAAAGGATATGAAATAAAAAGTTAAACAATCTCTGCTCGACTTCCTTGATCCATCTCTCTCCAAGTCACTGCAACTGTATTTTCAATTGGTATATTTGCTTTTAGTGAATTATAAATTTTTGGATGTGGACAAATGGTATACAGAAGCAGACATCCCAGGAATGCTAAGCAATTATTGTGTTTTTTTCTTCCTTCAAAGGAATGGAATTTGTTTTTTCTTTTTTTTAAGATTTAAACATAAATCAGCCTTTATTTCTATAATCTGTCATTTATATTAGATTCATTTAAGGATGAACACCAAAAACAGGTAAAATTAGATAAAAGGGGGACGGTAATCACGTTATCCAAGTGATTCCAATTTTGTCCTTTGATAAGACATCCTTATAAAACCACTAAGTTTAATAACAGATGCTGAACACTTCGTGTATTTAAGTAGACTGTGTTAAGAGGATTCAGGAATGTCTCCCTCACCTGCCAGTAAGTTCCGTGTGATGTGCAGCTTAGGCTGCTGTCGCCTAACAGGTTCACACACCTTCCGATGGAGCGTCTTGTGGAACTGGCAAACGTTGCCCCAGGGGATTTCTGTTGCCTTTGTTCTTTTTGATGAGAATGAAAGATAAAACAATGTCTCTGCCTTTGGGATATTTACAAAAATAATTACAACTCGTCAAAAATTGATATATATACAAATACTATAGGTAATTGGATAGCTGCAGGAGGCAATCAAAGACCATCCTAAGAACTCTTGTGGCTAATTTATATGGAATTAAATTATTTTTCTAAGGGAAGTAGCCTGCGGAGTCCTAACTGTGGTAAGTTCTATTTGGCTGGGATTCTAGGCGCTTTCCTGGGAAAAGGCTCGGCTATAGGGAGGGTTGGTATATATCAAAATATTCAGCAAGGAAGATTTCATTAAATGAAACCAAGAACTATTATGAGTAGGGTGGAAAGGTTTTGCTTTCCTAGTTCGTCCGTGACACACCGGTCCTACTGTGGCCTTTTAGGCGTGTCCTTTGCTAACATGTTTCTCCATATTGTATTTTTCCTTAAGACGTATTTACCTGCTTACAAAAGTGAGAGCTAAGATCTATGAGACTGCGTAGATACTGCATATCTGGGAAGAAAATATTCTTTAGCAAGAGACTGGCAATCAGCTGAAACTGGCTGGGAGGGATCTTGTGATTGCCAGATCAGGCCGTGGCCCTTGGACTGTGCGCTCACCCGTCCAACCAGGGCACTCCCTGGGACGTGCCTGCTGCGGTTCTCGGTTGGCTATTGGGAAGCATGCCTTCACCCTAACCAGTGTTCATTTCAGCCTACCTGTACCTTGAAAGGGGGTCATTTTAAACACAGCCAGCTTGTTGGAGATCGAAGTAAAGGTCCTCGCTTCTCTCCCTCCTTTACAAGATGTATTTTCTTCTGAATACATCTCCAGAACACCTGCTTAGCACACTTCTGGTCGTGTCTGGTGATTCGTGATCCTGCTGCATTGAGGCTGCCTTAAGTGCAGTCCCTGGAAGGTAGTTTAAACTTGTTTTGAGAAATGATGGAAGTGTACGAACAGACACTAAGATGGTGGCTGTGCAGCTGCTACGGGGGCAATGCCTGCTTTTACAGACGCTGCTGCAGTGAGAGCTAACTCAGTGCTCATGGCAGCCCCTGGAGAAGCCCACGCATGTGACTGCACCAAGCGTTAGCCCCAAGGCCTTCATGGGATGCACAGCGTTCCCCAGTATGTCAGTCTTATTCCACCTCAAAAAGTATCCCAGAGTAATCCGATAGTCAGTGAAAGAGTTCAGGGAGCCTTACACTGTATCCCCAGCATTGGAGATCCTAAGAAAGTCCATACTTACTGAACTTGTACAGCCCGGCTGCCTCTTCTGTGGAGGGCATGGAGGAGGTGGGTTGGTGGTACTGACATGCCAGCTTTTCACTCACTGAAACACCCAAAATGCTAATAACTTTGTAAATAACACCAAATAATAACATCGAAGTGCTACCAACTTTAAGACCCTGTTTTCTGTCCCAGCGATCAGAGGGTTCTACTTCTACAGCTGAGTTTCGGATGACATCGTGGTACTGAGTAGGAAGTGGGGATCCAATTATTTTTATAGGTTGTATTTTATAGGTTATATCTGAGGTTAAGCTGTAGCTGTCATAAAAAAATCCTTGGTTAAAGACTTAACATGGGTCCAAAAACTTGCCATAATGTATTGATAATTCTTGTTAAATGCCTCAGTGCTTGCTGCATGCAAAGAAGCAACAAAGGTACTTGTGAATAAATAAGGGGTCAGGGACCATTGTCAAGGCGCTTCCAGTGGAGTGGGGTGCAGGCAATGACGGACATCAGAACAGACAAGAGCTGAGGTTCAACTGCACCATGCGACAAACAGGTGACCTGAGCCGTGCTTTACACTCCTCACCTCTAACGAGGTTTCTGAGTGAAGAATTTTTTATAGTTTCTCAAACATAGGATAGATTTGCATGTGGGCTCTAACTTTAAAGACGTGTGTGTGTGTTTTCTCTCAAATCTTATTCAGAAAAGCTGTTTCCTGGGGTGTGTACTGTGGCACAGTGGGTGCCTGGGGTCCAACGCTATCTTCACTTTCATCCAGCTCCCTGCTCCGGAGCCTGGCAGCAGCAGATGCTGGCTCAAGTGCTTGAGTCCCTGCCATGTGAACGAAGTACCCAGCTGGAGTTTCTGCCTCCCGGCTTTTGGCGTCAGTCCCAGCTTTTGTGGGCATTTAGGGAGTGAACCAGCAGATTAAAGTGCTATTTCTCTGCCTTTGCAGTAAATAAAAATGAACTTTTGTTTTTTAAGAAAAGATTTATTTTTGCTTGAGTGGCAGAGTTAGAGAACGAGACAAAGAGGCATTCTATCCACTGGTTCACTCTGCAAATGGCTGCAATAGCTGGAGCTGATCTGAAGCCAGGAGCCAGGAGCTCCTTCAGGTCTCCCACACAGGTACAGGGTCCCAAGGCTTTGGGCCATCCTCTACTGCTTTCTCAGGCCATAAACAGGGAGCTGGATCAGAGTGGACCAGACAGGACACAAACCAGAGCCCACGTGGAATGCCTGTGCCACAGGCGGAAATCACCATGCCAGGCCCTTTTTGTAAGGTATTAAAAGCCACTTCCACTCAGTAATAATGTGGAATAGAAGCAGGAGTCCTTAGATGCCTATTTTTTCCTTAATTTTTACAGCCTACTACTAGAAATGTACAGCTACCAAAGAACTCAGATTCACAGGCTAATCTTTATTATTTAAAATGACCAGATACATTTTAACAGAGATGAATTCCATTTTCTAGGTACTTTCTAGGCATTATCGTAGCATTTGCTTATTGCTGTGTGACACTTACACTGTGACTACAGGCTTCCCCAATCTGTTGCAGAGGAAATCGCTAACTATAGTCTTTTTCAACTGTTAAAGATATATAATTTTAAGCTAAATTTTGCTCAGTGTGTTTATGCGTTGAAGTACATGGATTCAAAATTGTGAAACATTTCTGAAGGGTTAGGGATATTAAGCAAGCTTTTTCTTCTGCTTACAGAAGTTAACAGTATTTACAGTTTTGAAACCATAAGCTAAAATTTGTAAAAAAAAAATGTTACAGAGAAAGAAATCTGGGAACTCGCATTCCTTAGCACCCACCCTCTAGCATTAAGTATTGCTAGAGGTAACCCAGCATACAGCTAGCTCCACATTGGGGTTCATTATTAGTCTAACTTAGTGTTTTCACACTCTGGAAAGATGGAAAGAATTATGACCTGGAATTAATTGCAAAATGCACAGGTCATAGTAACAGCCTTATGCGGTGAGTTCAGTAGTGTACAAGTGTGTTAATTGGTAACTAAAGGCCAGATGGCCCAAGCAGAAGCTGGGTCGCTGGTGGCTGCAAGCAGCCCTGTCACCTGAGCCAGCAGGAAGCCAGGCCTCTGCGGGGACACCTGGGGTGAGGTTGGGTCCTTACATGACAGTTGTGCTTCTGACCGTGATTCTCTAAACCAGAGGCATGTCAGACTGTCAAAGATGAATTTAGGTCAGAAAAACCACCTTTATCTCAGAAAAGTCAAGATAATCGTAAAAAAGGAAACCGTATATATTGCCTCCCTTGGGGGCCTTTTTCTTTTACACATAAAATACCTCCTGCAAAAAAAAAAAAAAACTTGTTTTGAAACTGTCACAAATCTGATGAACAAAGAATGCATTTTTAATAGGATTCTATATGGCCAAAAGAAAACTGGTCATTTACAAGATGAGAGATAGGAAACTAAGGAATCCAACTCTGAAGTTGTAGTTCCAGGGGACAAGGAAAACCCCCTGCCTGTCCCATTTGGTGTCTTACTCGCATCCTGCACTAGGCCAGCCAAGGTGCAGAGAGGAAGCCGCGAACAAGTCGCCTTACCTCCTTGGGCCCGGGTCCTTGTCTGGAGAACACATTTCGTGAGCGTCTCCTTTGCAACACTGCAAACTGCGACAACAAGTTAGAAACAGCAGTATTTTAGAAGTTTTCACATCCTACTTTCTTCCCCAGTGTGAAAGAAAAGGGCAGAAACGAACAAGCCAGCCAGCCAAGGGGATAGTCTGCAGGCGGGATGTCTTGCTTCTCCAATATCTGACAATAACTGGAACTAAAGCTCTAGTGTTCGGCAGTGGGGCCTTGAGATTCTGGGTTTTTTTTTTTTTTTTTTATCCCTACCTCTGCGACAACAGAGGAGAGGCAAAGGGATGCCTGGCCTTTGCACACAGAAAGCAGACACCTGCCGTGTGTGCTTCCTAATTCCGGTGCAAGCACTGCCAGGTCAAGGCTCTGGGTCGTGAGTTGCCCAGCCAAAGCTCACCCACACTCTGAACGCCTGCGCGCCCCCCCCCCCCGTCTGTCGGTGTGAGACACAGAGGTGCAGCAATACTGCGTAAGAACTGAAGCAGAAATTACAAATGACAGTTTGAAAACCTCAGCATCACAGAAGCAAGAATCCTGACTCGAGTCCAAGGCTGCAGCCCACAACCAAACACCAGAACTATCCTGTCTGCTTAGGTGTACATGCAGCTTAGCTGAAACACTACGGGTTTTTTTAAAGGCTGGTTTCTCTGTTTAAAAAAAATGTTTTCTGTTTGGAAAAGTCAAGGCGGTCTGATTGACCGTGAGAATGTATTAGTAATAACAGGGATGGCTAGTGGGAGCTTAGCATCCTGAGATCCCGAGTGAACATCAAGATGGTCCTTCCTTCCATGTTTACTAATAGTGGAAATCTCTGGTCCAATGTATCCTACAAACCATGGAAATCTGCCACGCACATTGGACTGCTCAATTTTACCTCAAAGCAATGATGTTGTTGAATTTTGCAGACCAGAGAAGAAAGAAAGATGGAAGCAATTTTGCAAGCGTTTGCCAGACTTGAAAAGAGAGAGAAAAGGAGAGAGCAAGCTTTGGAAAGGATCAGCACGGCCAAAACAGAGGTGAAAGCCGAATGTAAGGAGACGCACGTCGTCAGCGATGCCGAAGCTACTCAGGTACCGCACTGCTCAGCTCGAGCCTTTCCACAGCTCGACAGTAGGCTTTTAACAGAAGTTTTCAGATTTCATAGACAGTTAGATGACATGCAAGACTGTACTTCAAGGAAAAATTTTCACTGGATCAGTTTGTAACAGATTTCCTAAAAAAGTTACACTATTACCCTCTGAAATGGAAAATTACTACTATAAACAGCTTCCATAAACATATCCATGCAGTGGTATCAAAAGTTCTTTTCTGTTGTATTTTAAATCAGGAACAAGCAAAGGAGGAAACTACGAACAAGCCAACCCCTGCGAAAGTGAATAGAACTAAGCAGAGAAAAAGCTTTTCGCGGAGCCGGACGCACATCGGACAGCAGCGTCGCAGGCACAGGACGGTGAGCATGTGCTCCGACCTGCAGCCGTCCTCTCCGGACATAGAGGTCGCTTCCCAGCCCAACGACGTGGACAGCACCGTGCTCGCAGAACCCGACACCGAAACTGCGCTGGCAGAGATCATCGCTGAGGCCGAAGTCCCTGCACTTACTAAATGTCCCACTAAGTACCCCAAGACAAAGAAGGTAATGCATAATGCAGCCACTTTCCGACACGGTTATCACTGCATCTCACGAGCAACAGAGTAAGATGCCTACATCTCATACCTGCAGATTTTAAGATTTATGTTGTTTGGAAAGTTAGATGTACAGAGAGGAAGATCTTACGCCTGCTCACTCACTCCCCAGGTGGCCACAACGGCTGGAGCCGAGTTGAAGCCAGGAGCCCAGAGCTTCCTCCGGCTCTCCCACGTGGGTGCAGGGTCCCAGGCTCTGGGCTGTTCTCGACTGCTTTGCCAGGCCACAAGCAGGGAGCTGGATGGGAAGTGGGGCAGCCAGGAGAGAAACTGGCACCCATATGAGATCCTGGTGTCTGCAGCCAATTACTCACTCCGCTATTGTTTTATACAACATAATATTTGATTTAGTAGTACATTATTATTTAGCATGTCCCTGAAAGGCCTCATTACATTTAATAATACAACATCCGGGCTCGACATGATGGCTCAGTGGCCAAAATCCTCAACTTGCACGCACCAGGGTCTCATGTGGGCAACAATTAATGTCCCAGCTGCTATACTTGACACACTCTCTGCTTGTGGACGGGGAGGCAGTAGAGGACGACGCAGACCCTTGGGACCCTGCACCCGGTGGGAGGCCTAGAAGCAGCTCCTGGCTCCTGGCTCCTAGTGACAGCAGCTACGGCCCTTGTGGCCACCCAGGGACTGAGCCAGTGGGTGGAAGATCTATCTCCATCTCCATGTAAAGCTGCCTCTGCAGTAAACCCACTTATACTGCCCCAGATCCTACAGGATTTATGTAGGGACCTTTAATCCTCACCACACTGCTTGCTGGTCCTGTCACACGCACACGCCGGGATGGAGCAAAGTTACCCGACCTTGCTGCTAGGCACAGGGCAAGTGTCCACCTTTCCCGCACACCCCGAGTCATTGTTTTATCTTACAACAGTCGTTGTAAACATACAGAGCAGTCCTAAAAGGTGTACTGTGCATCCTGTCTAGATTAACAGTAAACAGGATGAGCTTATGCTTCTGTATGCACATAAACGCCTGAGTGCATAAGGGCAAACGGGAACTCTGACACTCACAGTGCATCTGACGGCCAGTGCCGGCAGCTTCAGGGGCGCACACCCGTCCTGCCTCACGTGCAGGAGGCCAAGGTGGGCAACAAGGACAGAAGAGAAAGGGCTGCGGAAAGTCACATCTTGCCAACAAAACTCAACACTGCACGCCTCTTAGAGAGGCGGCAACAAAGGCGGTGTCTGCTGTACTGCGTTCTATTAGAGTGTATTATATTAAAAAACAACACTTATAAAACTGCTTTACCCACATAAAATAGGTGGGAGGTCTGAGTAGCAATAGACAACCATGGAGATCCATTTTTAGGCCTTATATTTGGAATGATCTAAATTACCCAGTTTAGCACCTTAGGCAAAACGAGAGTGTCCTGTGGGAGAATTTGTGTAATTACATAATGAACCACATTTCTTTTCCCCAGCACTTGGTGAGTGAGTGGTTAAGTGAGAAGAATGAGAAGACAGGAAAGCCTTCAGAGAGCCTTTCCGAAAGGCCTCTCCGCATCACTACAGACCCCGAGGTGTTGGCCACACAGCTCAACTCGCTGCCAGGCCTCACGTGCGGCCCCCACGTGTACTCCACTCCCAAGCACTACATCCGGTTTACGTCGCCTTTTCTCTCCGAAAAGAGGAGGAGAAGGGAAGCCCCGGAGAACATCTCTGGCTCATGCAAGAAGGTAAACTTTTTCTTTGGAACTAAAAATGGAGGAGCAAAATGCCACTCTCTCCCTCCGCCCTTGGTAGTAAAATGCTTCTGGAATGGACTGCACTGGGAGGCTCTGCCAAGCTGCACACTCATCCCTTTTCACTTACTGCTGTTTCCGTTAGCGATGGCTGCGGCAGGCGCTGGAGGAGGAAACTTCAGCCATTTTACACAGACTGACTTCACCCTGTCAGGAACGATCGAGAAGTCCTACAATCAATGGTGAAAACAGAAGCCCACTGCTGTTAAACGACAGCTGTTCCCTTCCAGGTAGGACGGTGTCAGTGGGAGGGATGCAAGAGCATGTGGGAGGGAACTGCACAAAATGCAAGAAAAACTATTTCAAGGTTCAGGAGGTTCAAGGTTCGTTGGCTTCAGTACCTTGCAAGACCTCTCCGGGCGCCTCCAGCCGGGCCTGTAAACCCGCACACGAGACTCCTTGGCCAATACTGAAATGAACGAATTTAGCAGTGACGGGGGAAGATTAATTCATGTTAATACCATTTCTTAAAACTGTCTACTTTTAGTTTTGGGTAGAGGTTATTATGTTAGGTAATAGCAAATGCCAACAGTATTTCTTACACGTTATCACGTCACCAACAGATCTAACTACACCACTGAAAAAGCGAAGACTCTATCAGCTGCTGGACTCAGTCTACTCAGAGACCTCCACGCCGACTCCGTCACCGTACGCCACGCCCACGCACACAGACGTCACTCCCACGGACCCGTCGTTTGCCACCCCGCCACGGATGAAGTCAGACGATGAGGCGTGTCGGAATGGTTACAGACCCATCTACTCCCCGGTGACCCCCGTGACTCCGGGCACACCTGGGCACACCATGCACTTTGAGGTGAGAGGTGAAACAAGGAGCCTTTCGGTCCCTGGAGGTGTGGTTTCTTTAGGAGGTGTATTTAACAGCTGGGATTCTGAGACACTACAAGGGAAAAGGCGTTAATAGAAACTAACATTTTTACAAAAGGAGCATAAGTTTGCAATGCAGTGCGCATTGCTGACTTCAAGGGAAATGAAAGTAGGAAAGAAACTCTAAAACCTAACTGTAGCAGCTTCTCATTTTAACTTTTCGTTTCGATTAGTGTGAATTTTAACTTCAAATTGTAATTTCTTTTATTTAGAATATTTCTTCCCCAGAAAGTTCTCCAGAAATAAAGAGACGCACTTACAGTCAAGAGGTAGGAACTGCTTAAAATGGGAGGGCGGGGCTCTGGATGGTTTTTGCCTTACTAATCATTATTTTACAAGTAAATTGCTATATTTTAAAGTGAGTAGTACCAAGATGTGATTATTTGTGTTTTGTTGTTAATTCCACAAACAGGGATATGACAGATCTTCAACCATGCTAACACTGGGGCCTTTTAGAAATTCCAGTTTAACTGAGCTGGGTCTGCAAGAAATAAAGGCCATCGGTTACAGCAGCCCTAGGAGCAGGCCCGAAGTCAGCAGGCAGTGTCTTGGAGAAAAGGAACCCGCGTCAGACCTTCCCCTGGGACTCGACGCAGTCGAGCCGTCCGCCTTGCATAAAACCCTGGAAGCCCCAGCACACGACAGGCCCGAGCCCAGCAGCCAGCTGGAGCCCACGCTCTCGGGCCGGGGCACCTTGTATTCCTCCTGGGGGAAGAGTCCCGACAGGACAGGCGTCAATTTCTCAGTCAACTCCAACCTGCGCGACCTGACGCCCTCGCATCAGCTGGAGGTCGGAGGCGGCTTCCGAGTGAGCGAGTCCAAGTGTCCGCTGCAGGACGACGGCAGGCCCCTGTTCCTGGACACGGCCGCCTTCTGCGGCGCCGACGAGGGGCTCGCGGCGGGCTTCGGCCGCTCGCTCCACGACAACTTGATGGATGGGAGTTGCACCCCCCAGAACCCACCACAGAAGAAAAAGGTTACAAATCTAACAAGTTAACAGTTGTTTTCAAAAATTCTGCTACTGAGGGGAACTGGCAGCTAAAATGTTAATCATACAAGGCATTCTTAATTTAGTAATTCACATGAAAAATTTTTACACATGCATTTTGAATCCTTTTGTAAATGCTAACCTAATGTAAAAAATTGAGTCTTGGTAGAGAGCATGACTGCAGATAGCAACTTCAAGTTCACTTGTTCTCAAAAAGGCTGCTTGGGCTATTACCGTATTTATATATGAAACAGGCAAGCATGTCCACAGACACGCTGTCCGCAGTGTTTCAGCCATGGATGTTAGGAATGTGTTGGAAAGTTTTATTCCAGAAGTATCATGTATTAATAAATAGTTGCCCATACACTGACATTTGGACAACCAGAATGCCTTGTTCTTGTCAAAGAATGGGACAGACCACAGCACTTGTTTTGTTAACAGGCTTGTTGCTTTATGAGTCAAAAGAATTTTAGTGATGTGTGCTTTTAATTTTTATAACAGAGTCCAGTTGGCAACTTTGTGGGAAGCAATGTAGTATAGTGGAAAGAGCACGGGCTTTCAAATAAGACCTAGGTTCGAATCCCGGCTCCAACACTCACCAGCTGTGTGACCTTGAGTGAGTGACTTCCTCCATTTCCTCCTCTGTAAAATGGGGATGATGATGTGCTCTGTCAGAGGATTGCTGTGAGGAGTAAATGAGATGTGTGTTTAAACCAGCTAAGTGCAATGCCGGGCATATAACAGGCATTGGATAATCGTCAGTAATTATTTATTCAGAATAAGCATATCTGACAGTTTTTTTAATGTAAATATAGTAATTCTCTATAAAAGAAAAAAGAACAGATTGATTGTGACATTGAAGACAAGAATAAAAGATTTGCTTTCCCCCCCTTGCCTAAGGTTTCTCTACTGGAATACCGGAAGAGGCAACGCGAAGCCAGGAAGAGCGGCTCCAAGTCTGAGAGCTTCCCGCCAGCCGCGGGGTCGCCTCATGCCAGCGGCAGCGCCAGCAGCGACGGCTGTGCCCACAGCGCCGAGAGCGGGGAGCAGGTGCCCGGCAGCGCCGGCCCGCCCTTCCCCACGCCTGCCGCGGCCCAGGGCGCTGCTTCGGAGGAGTCGGGCAGCCACTGTCCTGTGAAGGAGGCTGCCGCCGCCGAGAAGAATGAGCCGGAAGTTCAGTGGTAAGCTTGTTTAGGAGAGTTCTCGTCTGGGCAGTACAGGCTTCCCTTAATGCCCACCCGGGGCTGGGCAGATCCCGGTTCCGGTCCATCATGCAGGATCCGCGGCCGAGAATCCAAACCGGCCGCTTGTTCCTCTGCCTTCTTACTTCCTGTTCACATTGTCTGCTCTAAGGAACTTGCACCGAGACAAGCCACAGTTCCTGTGAAAGGTGTGTGGCTTTAGCAGGAGGGCTCGGCAGAGGACAGGAGGCCCCGTTCCCGGCCCGGGCCTCCTGCGGCCTGAGTGCTCAGTCGGGCTCAGTCGGACGAGGGCGGCCTGTGAGGGCTAGGAGGCACCCTAATAGGCTGCAGGTTGGCACACTGCATTCTCAACTGAGGTTCACAGCAAGTGGGGGAGAACCCAGGAAGCTGAGCTCCTTAGTTCTTACGATTAGAGTACAAAACAGCAAGACCAGAATCAGCGATTTCCAGAGCTTGACTCCAAAGGATTTCCCAGTGGAGCCAGCGCCCTGGTCTGAGCACAAGCTGCTCCAGGCGCCGGGTGAGCAGCCGGCAGCAGCTTCACTGACTTGAGGACTCTGTTTGATCTTAAAGGACCGCTTCGACCTCAGTGGAACAGGTGAGAGAAAGGAGTTACCAGAGGGCTCTCCTCCTCAGCGACCACCGGAAGGACAAGGACAGCGGTGAGTACGCGTGCCCGGGCACCCTCGCCCTGCCCCTCGCTGCTGGGCAGCCCTCTCCGTGCCCCTCCCCGCAAGCTAACGTTCTCTTCGGGTCTGCTCTGCTTCCTCTCCAGGGGGAGAGTCACCATGTGTGTCATGCTCACCGAGTCATGTCCCGTCCTCACCTTCATCTCATTCAAACCACACTCCCCGGGTGCCGGCCAAGGGCCTGGCCTCTCTGAGTGAGCTGACGGAAGGTAATGGAGCAGATGATCGAGCGAGCTGGTCCTTTCGGTACCTTTTGAAATCAGGAAAAAGGACGGCCTGTGTTAACCCGTGCACTGCCGAGCGCTTCCCGGGTCACTTTGCACTCACTGTCTCTCTGCTTTACAGATGCTGATCCTGAAAATCTAGACCCCGTGGCTACAAACCAATGTCCATCCCCAGATGCTTCACAACCCTCTTGTAAAAGCCCTTCAAAAACAAGTAAGGTGAGTATGTGCCAGTGTGGGTGTGGCCGCTCGCAGGTGCCCGGGCGTGCTAACCTGCAGCCGGAGGGGTCACTGCCTGCCGAGCACCGACTGTGACACGTTCCGTGTCAGACAGGCGCCCTTGGGTTTATCGCGTTTCTTTCACTCATTCTTGCACAGCGAGCTGTGCGAGTTTCCTGATAAGCACACCTTAGCAGGTTAGACTCACTGTTGCTCTAACGGTGTCGAGGAAACCCAAAGCCTCGCCAGGACGCGACCAGCAGTTAATTCTCTAAATACAGTCATGTGACATTCACTGAAAGGAATGCTGGACCATGTGTGTCCAGGCAACCGCAAACAGGCATTCAGCATTTTCAAGGTTTTATGTCTAAGTGGTCTTATATTTGAAATGCTTCTATTTGAACATTGTGTAAGGAAACTGATGAAAAGGGATGGGAAATAAAAATCTTTCTAGTTCTTTCAGAGTGTACAGCTCAAACTGCTTTAAGGAAGATGAGCAGTTACAGTTTAAAGACGCCCAGGACTGTCTTCTCACCTTCGCTTTAGTAAAAGTTAATTCAGATTTTGAGACAGCTATAGACAAGTATGATCATTCAAGAGACTTTAGCCTTTTACAAAACAGTCTACAGTTTGCAAAGCTGTATGTCTCCCCTTTAAAACTCTTTAAATGCCAACAAGAGTAGAACTTGAGGCACGTAAAAGTTCTGAAGTTTTCACACATGGAGTGTGCGTGTGATGTGTCTTCTCTTTCCAGCCTGGTTCTCCTGCTCACCCACAGGGCAAAGGTCCCACGCAGCCGGAGCCGCAGTGGGAGGCCCCGGACGCCGAGCCCCAGCACAGACAGCTCTGCAGCCACAGCCAGGCCCTTCCCAAGCCGCCTCTTCCTCAGCCACAGGTTCGCAGTTCATCTGAGCAACTTCCACAAAAGCTGCCTTCTGCCCCCGCGAAATCGCACTGTCCTCCATCACCTCACACGGAGACGCCCCCCAAGTCGTCTACACCGCACCCCCCGGCGCAGCACCTTTCCCCCAAGCCGCCCTCCCAGCAGCTAGGGTCTCCGTACCGGCCTCACCACGCGCAGTCCCCTCAAGTGGGCACACCCCAGCGGGAGCCTCCCAGGAACTTCTACCCCGCCGCGCAGAGCCTCCCGGCCAGCACCCAGCAGGCCGCCTCGGGAGCCTTATTCACCCCGCCACCCTCAGGACAGCCCTCGGCCACCTACGGTCAGTTTAACCCACCGAGCCTCAGCGGCCTCAGCAGCACGGCGCCCCCGCCGCCGCCCCCGCCGCCCCCTTCGTCCTCGTCCTCCTATTACCCAAACCAGCAGCCCTCTGCGAGCTTCCAGAGTTACCCTCAGCTCAAAGGGAGTCTGTCCCAGCAAACCGTGTTTACATCAGGACCAAGCCAAGCACTTCCTGGCGCCGTGAGCCAGCAGCCCGTCCCCGGACACCACGTTACTCCGGGGCACTTTCTGCCCAGCCCGAACCCGGCCGTTCACCATCCAAGCCCCTCGGCCCCGGTGCCCCCGCCGCCGCCGCCGCCTGCTCCGGGCCCCCACCTCGTGCAGCCGCAGCACCCCGTGGCACACGTGGTGGGGCCCGTCCACGCCGTCACCCCGGGGTCGCACGTCCATTCGCAAACGGCGGGACACCATCTGCCGCCGCCGCCCCCGCCGCCCGGCCCCGCTCCCCAGCACCACCCACCGCCCCACCCCGGCGCGGGGCTGCAGGGCCTGCCCGCACAGCACCAGCACGTCCTCAGCTCGGCGCCGCCCCCGCCGCCGCCCCCGCCGCCCTCGGCGCATCACGCGTCGGGCCAAGCCTTACACCGCCCGCCCCACCAAGGACCTCCGCTCTTTGCGTCGAGCGCTCATCCCGCCGTGCCGCCGTATCCCTCGCAAGCCACGCACCACACCCCCCTGGGGCCGGGGCCCCAGCACCAGCCTTCGGGGACAGGGCCGCACTGTCCATTGCCAGTCACGGGTCCTCACCTCCAGCCCCAAGGACCAAACAGTATTCCGACACCTACCGCTTCAGGGTTCTGTCCTCACCCTGGCTCTGTGGCCCTGCCGCATGGGGTTCAAGGACAACAGGCCTCTCCGGTACCGGGCCAGATTCCAATTCTCAGAGCACAGGTGCCACCGACGTTTCAGAACAATTACCATGGCTCAGGGTGGCATTAAAATGGACTCTCAAAACATTTTTTTAAATGTTCTGTAAGATAAACTGTATATTTCATATGTACCTGTTAAAGGTACTTTTTAAAGCTTGTACATGAAACTTTGTATAAAAACAAAAAGAAAAAAACACCAGTGCTCTTTCATTGTATGTTTCTCAGTTTCGCTTTTCAAAATTCCTTTCAAAATGTGCTGTTAAGCCAGTATTAGGTATCTTTTTATTTGGTGAACATTCCAGCTATTTTTTTGACAATAGGTTTAATGCTACATGATCTTTAAATTTTATCGTTGCAATTAAATTCGTTAGGGAAGATTTTTCTGTATTGTTTCCGACTTGTGCATCAGCACACGGCTAAGCGACGGCGCTCTGAGATCTGCACTTTCCGTCAGCCCGTGCGTCTCGGTACAAACGCAATACGGATCTTCAGAGTTTGGTGCGGACCGGCCTCATTTGCTTTTATCGGTTATTTGCAAGCAAAATGTAATTTAATGTATAGACTATTTCTACTGTCTCCCGATAAACTGTAAATATGGCATTTCTTTTGCGTATATAATTGCTTACAGCTTCTCATTTGATATGGAGCATTGTACATATGACAAGTCTTTTGCAAAACTGTGTGATCTTTGTGAAAGTAGTACAGTATATGATCTTTAATTTTTTTTTAAATTTTAAATATACTGTCACACTGAAGCACTGGTTGGGCATTTTAATTCATGTTAATAAATCACAATTATGTCAGTTTTACCAAATTGTTCTGTACAAGTTCTAAGAATGAGGTCTGCTCGAGTGTTTTTAAAGATCCCAAGCACAACCGATCGGGGCAGGCACCACCTCGCCCGGACGGCGCAGCAGCAGGCACTCCTGGGCCACCCCCTGCCAGGGCCGGAGCCACGCTGCAACCAGACCACGATGCATTGCACACAGTACGAACTGCAAGTCACAACTGTTTGAAATACAAATAGTTAGACTAACACACAGGAATATCTAATTTGCACATTTTAGAACATTATTGAAGTGATCTACCGATTAGAAATTAAGACCTTAAAATTAGTATTTTTCTTTAAAAAAAAAGTGGGAAATCTTACATTCTTGCAGCACATATAAGGGGAAAAAGGCATTATTCTCAGCACGCAAATGAAATGAAAATGGCCTCTGAAGCTGAGGATTTCATTGCTGGAATATAAAATATTAGTTACAGTTTTGGAGAAATAAAGTCCCCAGCCTGCCTTGCAGCTCTCGGGGGGCGGGGCGGCCCGGGCGGCTGGCGCAGGCGCACCGCACGGGGGGAACTAACCCTGAACGTGCCCGAGATCTGCTAGTAACAAACTGTGCTTTATACTTTGAATTTCCATTTTCTTTTGAGAACTAACTGCTGAGGATGCATGAACAGCGCAGTCAGGGCCCAAATAGAACACTGGGCAGCTTTGCCACCCTGGACTCGTCCGCCCGCTCCGGCGGCGTCCCCGGACGAGCCGCGCGACCTCGGACCCGGGTTCGGGGAGCGGACTGAACCAGCCAAGGAAACGGCACCGCTCACCTCCAACGGGACTAGCATTCTGTTTTTAATTCCTCAGGTTTTTTTATTACTCCACAAATCATACGTAACCTTTTGTGTAAACTGCAAAATCTCATTCTTTGCTCTCAAGTACCATTATCTTTTTTAAATTATTTTAAAATGGGAGAGAAAAACAATATAAGAAAATCTGAATTATAAATACAAACTGAAGCTTTTTTTTTTTTTTACCCAGGATGTTCCAGGAACAAACAAGTTCATTTTCACCCAGAAGCATACGTCCTTTGGCAGCCCTTCCCCTTTGTTCTGCCCTTGGGTGGCCGGTCTACCAGGTCCCAGACACCAACCTGAGGCCAGGATGGGGACACACGGCGTCTGTGCAGACCTCACGTGGCTGCAAGGGCGAGATGGGATTTCAGCTGCAACTGCTGAGCTGCACCACCACTGCTCCTTAGCGCGCGTGCACTCCCAGTCAGCCAGCTGCCGAGACCAAACCAGGCCTAATACAAACCTGTTTACGTTTTAGGATACTCGATCTCACACTGTTGACTAGGCTATTTTATCTGAAGGGATCCCCCCCCTTAAAACTCACAATTAATTTACTTTTCCAAAACAAGTTAAGATCCTGTTAGAAAAATGTCATTCAAGTGCACTACCGACCCTGGTTACACATTCGTGTAGACACGGAGGACGCAGCCCGTGCTGTGGTTCTGTAAGAACGTCCACGGAAGCTGTGGAGGGCCTCGTGGGGCACGGGCAGCTGAGGGCACACACGTGGTAAACGACAGCATTATTCAGAAACGACTCCACATGGCACAGGAGACGGGACCGCTCTACCGCCCCGCAGCATGTGCTCGAGTGCAAATCCCCAGCACCAGGTGTCTCGTCCCATCACAGGAAAGGCCCCAGCAGAGCACGGGTCACTGCAGGGAAGGATCTAGACTGCACGCGGCAGCATCTCCCCGGAAGCACTTACGCCCTTACAAACAGTAACAACTTCCTCCTGAACAGCCTCCCTGCGAGTTCCGCAGCAGCTCTATCTGTGTCAACAATGCTGGCATTTCTCTTAGTTTTGGTGCTACTATGCTTGACGGCAAGCATCTGTTCATTTATTACTTCAATACAGGGCAATGAGCAAGGCAATGTCTGAAAAAAAAACCAAAACACTTTAATTTTTAAACTGCAAGCACCTCAAACAATGGGTTATTGTTACAACACTTGTTAGCTTTCCACAATCTAGTTATTGCAAAGGCATATGGATAAATGTTAATAGACAAAGTCAAGAAAAACGAGGCACCTTAAGAATGTAGAATTTGAAATAAAAAGACATCCAATCCACTGACTTCTAAAAGAGGCTAAGTACACCTCTCTATATATTACATTCTAAAATTGTATTGCCTACTATGGTTTGTGTCCTGGTTTCTACAATTTTGAGGAAATGCATTAACAAAACTGTGCAACCTACAAGGGGAAAATCATTTTCTCAACTCCAATTCAGGGCAAGGCAATGAGCAAGCAGGTACAATCGCTTACAGCCACACACGACGCTGCCCGTGGAATGAGGGGTCACTGTTACCTGTGAGGAGATTCTGCCCACTGCACTGCGAAGGATGAAAATCCACACCTCGTGTTCTAGACAAACACGGTCATGCTTTTCCAAAAAACATGGCTGTTTTGTTTGCTTCGTTCCACACACTGAATTCTTGCCCCATTCAATCTATGTTTCTAACGTAACAGTGCTTGGCGGAGGCAACACCACGTGGTCCCGGGTCATCACATTTGTAAAGGGAGGCCAACCTTTTCCTCCCCAAGTACTTTTAGGAATATGCAAAAATACAAATGGAACTGCTCGGTCAGAACGCGTATTTCCGGCTGAGAAGCACGCCTTTGCCTTCCTTAAAGCGCCGTATTGGGAATGACAACTTGTAATCCAGAGCCACTTGGTTTTAAATTCAACATAAAAAAGGACTTTTACGGAATGAAAAATCTGCACCATTCCTTGGAGCAGATCAAATCTGCTCCATGCAGCTCAGGCTCTGAAGCACTCAGGACCTGCGGCTTTTCTGAGTCCCCACCCCGTATTTAATGGCAATCAACATTTACAGAGTGCATTTACACACACTATAATACAGGAAGGATGTCCCTCTGCCAGAAGAAAACATTGTACATTTCCTTGCTGCTACTTGGTTCCAACTTGATAATGTCTTAAGATTGTAAAATTATATAGTACTCAGCTAAAATATTTCTTCATAAATAGTTACAAAACCTGCCAAAACACAAAGGGGAAAGTATTTTTCGTTCAAAAAAACTGACATTTGAATGTCACACAACACAAGAAACAATGCTTGGACATGTTATTGTTTCCAGAAGAAAATGGTCAGTGAACTACTTAGCTGAAGACAGAAGACTACCCTTCCCCAGGATCACAGTGCACAGAAAGCAGAATGTCAAACAACAGTACCTCGAAGCAAAACAAAGGTCTGAGGATGAAGCCAGCTCACTTGTAATCCTGTTAAAGAATGAGAGTCACCGTTTCGGTCCAATGTCCTGGAAAACATTGGCTAGCTCAGAACGCTCTATTTGTAGAATCTGCTAAGAATTCAACCAGGGATGCCGGAGGCATTCGCCGGCAGAGGCTCGCTTCTCCGGAACCATCTCTAACATGGGGATCAGGAAATCCGTGAACTGCGCAGCGTCCTCATGGGGCCAGCCGTACTTCTCCACGAGCACGTCGAACAGGCTCCAGGGCTTCAGCTTGGTGATGTGCCGCAGCTCTCCTGCAGGGAAGGACAGCCCACGTCAGGAGCACTGTGCCTCCCGTTCCCGTGGCTGGACCAGCCACGCAGACGACATACCCGCTGGACGCTTCCCACTCCGCACCCCGAAACCTCCACCCTGCCCCAAGCAGGCAACACACGTACCCATGACCAGGTCACACAGTCCAGAGCAGCTCACAGACGCAGACTGGGACGAACAAGATCAGATGGGTCAGATCTGGTTTCTTTATACATGCAAAGGTGTACTGGGCGCCCACACTGATTTCCCTACAACCTGGAAACTTGTGCCATTTGCAGGTTTGCTTAGAGGGACCTACAGGACACACACAGACCCCCTGGCCTGTTCTTTCTGCCCCTTTCCCTTGAGCACCTGTAATGATGGTCAAGTGTCCTTTATATCTGAGCTGGTCTTTACGACAACCACCAATCACAAGTGGCGAGCCGGCCATGGAAACGTGGCTGCACTGTGACCGAGGAACTCAAGAGTTTTCATTTTAACTTTCGTCAGTTTAAACAGCCACACGCAGCTAGGAACACCTGTTCCAGACGGCCCAAATTCAGAGGCTAGCTCCAAATCAACAGCATTCATGAGCCTGCATTTGTCGTGGGAGCTAAACTCCACAACACTCAAGTGCAAGACCTGAGGTCGCGGTTTTCAAGTGGTTGCTGTGGCAGAGCCCGGTGTGGGCTCAGGTGACTCAGACTCACTCATCAGAAGGACCCCCAAACTAGGGAGAGATCTGGGGGAGTCAGGTTTAAGTCCAACTGCCACAGACAGTGCATTCCAAACACCTGGTTCCTCCTAGGATGTCCCACGGCTGCACACAGAGCAGCTGCTTCTGTGTCCCCAGGGCACACCCCATTGGCGGCTGCAGCCAGAGGGCAGGAGGGTCCAGGCGACAAGCGCCATGCGTTAACGTGACGTGGCAGCAAGGCAGCGGCATGGTGCCCACAAGAGTCCTCCAGACGCTGGGGCTGTCTCCCAAGTTCACCAACAAAGCACTGCCCTCCCCCGAGAGCTACAGTCACATGAAAACACCAGGAGACAGCCTCAGCAGCCTCAGACAGCTCAGCAGACTCCTGTCCTGCTCGCGGGTGCTCCTGGGCAGTGCCCACTGCCTGCTCTGTCCACATGGACGCATGGCGGCGTGCTCAGGGTTCCACACAGGAAATGTCTTTGGGATTTGTTAAGCAAGGGACTGGAGTATGAATAGGCTTCTGACTCCACCATGAAAACCAACGGTCACCAGGCACCTCCACCCCACCCGATCCCACCGGGAAAAACGGGCTGAGCTGGCACAGAAGGGCAGGCTACCCTTGCCAGCAGCATTCGAGGCCTAAGGAGCTAAAGACCCAGGGACTCTGGCCTGTGCCCCTTCAATGTTCACCAGCCAACCTTCCACCAACGTGCACCGGCACAGTTACAGGTACTGAGTAACACAACAGTGATTACACACCAAGATTGTCAAGGCATAGCAAGCTAAGCCTCCGCCTGTGACGCTGGCTGCCCGTAACGGCACCGCTCCAAGCCCCAGCTTCCAAGCCAGCTTAGGCTAATGTGCCACGAGGCGCTGGGGTGTCCGAGACGGCCGCTGTACGCACACAACCTACTTACTGCCTCATCTCAAACAAAGCCTCACTGAGCCTCTAGCACCCTGCAATGTTTAGGAAATCCTGACCAAGCGTCTGCACGTGCCAGCACGGACGCTCGCTCTTTCCTCATTGACGCTCTCCAAGGCAGCGTGGTCTGTCCGCAAGGCAGGCATGCAGACATGGCCCGCCCACTGACTCGCTCTCCAAATCCCATGGCAGCTAGTTTGGCCAAATCAAACCCACAAACGAGAAACTCAACACCAGGGCTCCCTCCTGCACGGCGGGGAGCAGCTACTGGAGCCCCCACCTGCTGCCCGAGAAAGAACAGTCCGCACGTGGCCGACAGATGTGCACGGCCCAGCTGAAATCAACCACTGAGCCAAACACCTCTCTGACAATCTACTGGACTGTATTTGTCCATACAGAGCGCAGAGAGTCAGCTATATAACTATACTTATCTACTTAAAATTTTATTTATTTTTATTAAAAAGAGATTTGCAGAGAGAAAGACAGAGAGAAAGATCTTCTGTCTGCTGGTTCACTCCCCAAGTAGCTGAGCCAATACAAGTCAGGAGCTTCTTCCAGGTCTCCCATGCAGGTGCAGGGGCCCAGGCCACAAGCAGGGAAGCGGAAGGCAAGTGGAACAGCCAGGACACACACCAGCACCCACATGCGATCCTGGCATGCGCGAGGCGAGGATTTAGCTGCTGGGCCATTATAGTAGGTCCTATGATTTGTTTTTTAAGATTCATTTATTTTTATTGAAAAGACAGATTTTACCAAGAGGAGACAGACAGATCTCTCATCCACTAGTTCACTCTCCAAATGGCCACAACGGCTGGAGCTGATCTGATCTAACGCTAGGAGCCAGGAGCTTCTTCTGGGTCTCCCAAGCAGGTGCAGGGTCCCAAGGCTTTGGGCCATCCTTTGCTGCTATCCCAGATCATAAGGAAGAAGCAGGATGGGAAACAGTAGCTGGGACATGAACAGGTGCCCACACGGAATGCTGGCCCTTGCAGACAGCCAGCTGAGCCATTGTCCCCTAACTACACCATCTTACATGACAAGCTCCCCCATTCCAGATCACTTAGCAACTCCATGAACACAGCGGGTCATATTCCACGGGATGAAACCCCTGCAAGGAGCAGCCTCAAACACCTCGTGTGCTTCTGGCAGCTCATCCTCACACAGAAGAGCCCGCAAAGATGCCGTCGGTGACAGCCAGCCACACACACCACGCGGTCCTGGACACGGACAGAGCAACGCCGCAGCAAGGCCGGACACAGAGCAACCAGTGAAAATGCCTGCGTTCTGCAGATATGTGGGGAACCAGCAACGCCAAGTCAAGACAGGAAAAGCAGCTCTGTCTCTCTAACTCTGCCTTGCAAATAAACAATCTTTTAAAAACTGAGTTTTGACATTTATTTTTTCTTAGGAAAAGATGTATTTCACTGAAATACATTTTCCAGATCACTGGACACAATTGTGACAATTTTTACTAAAAGCCTGCTTTTTCAGCTTTTGGTAGTTAAAGAGAATGTCACTTAGACTGGCCTGCGACCATGGGCTGTCAGTCTCAGCAGTGACTCCCTCACGGAAGCCCCGCACCGAGCTCCGGCGGCCAGCAGCTCCTCCAACTTCCCAGCTTGCCCAAGCAACACCCAGCTCGAAGCAGCCTTGAGACTGGAGCGTGCGTGGGCCCTGTGTCCCCGGAAGGACAGGGCTTGGGGCAGCAACTGACTTTACCAGACACTACAGGGCTCTAAGTGCTGAGTGACAGATCACTGCTTTATTCCCCAAATGGCCAGAGGCCAAGGCTGGCCCAGGCCAAAGCCAGGAGTCAGGAATTCAATTCCAGTCTCCACCCAGACACCCGAGCCCTCACCAGTTGCCTTCCAGGGTATGCAGCTGCAGGAGGCTGGAGTGCGAGTGGAGGCGGGATTTGATCCCAGGCCAGCCAGGAAGTGATGAGGGAGCCCCAGGTAGACCTGAGCTCACTGTGCCAGCCTCCCAGCCACCCCGCAGCGCTAACCATTTCTACTACACTGTTCCTGAATGCTATTTTAAGTCATTTATGAATTGAACACAGGAGCTTCAAAAAACACATGATAAAGTGTAACACAAATCCTGATAGGACATTTCAGTAAATGATCCTCATTAAAGAGTGAATCATACATAAAACAGGGTAAGTCAGAAGCCCCGGGCCTGATTCCCGGGGACTCTGCTGCGGAATGAGCAGCTCAACGTGCCGGGCTGAGGTGAAGCTGCAGCCTCCACTTCTGGAGCACTTGCCCGGTGTGGTCTGTGACACAAGCAGACAATGACGGTTTGGTTCTGCAAGACAAAGCTCCTGCACCAACTGCACTGCTGGGTGTCATGCGCACTGAAGGCCTTTAGTCTGACACAGGCAGATCCTCACTGCACCCCAGTGCACCTGTGCCCTCCGGAAGCAAGGCACTGCTTTGTATCTGCAAAGCTAAGGACTGGGGCCAGAGCGGTGGTGTCACCGGCTAATCCTTCGCCTGCAGCTGCCAGCATCCCACATGGGCGATGGTACGTGTGCTGGCTACTCCATTTGATCCAGCTCCCTGATTATGGCCTGGGACAGCAGGAGGGTTGGCCAAGTCCTTGGGCCCTGCAAACATGTGGGACAACAAAAGAAACTGCTAACCTCAGACCAGCTCAGCTCCGGGCGATGCGGTATTTAAGGAGTGAACCAGTGAATGTGAGATGTGTCCTTCAGATAAAAATAGATCTTTTTTTAAAAAAAGTAAAAATAAAAAGCCAAGGATCTCCTTTAATGCTTCTGTTCTCAACACAGCAGGATTCTTGGCCGCAGCAGCCACTCTCGGGTCACCAGCACGGGGTCACCTGAGGGAGCGCCTGGTGGGGACCCCTGCTTGCTGGGCACAGAATTCAGAGAGCATTGGCTTCCATCAGGTCACACCTCATCTCCCAGCCTTCCTTGGTGGCTAACAGCCATGCCCGGATGAAAGCAGTAACCACTGTCCCTTCCCCAAACTTCAGCAGCAGCTTTCACTCCCTGGCCAAGGAGGCATTCAAAGTTACCAGCGAGAGGAGGGCAGCCACGATGCTTGCCTTGAATACAAGGACCTCGCCAGCCCCCGCACAGCCCAGCTGGCACGTTCTGAGAGCTGCCAAGTGTGAATGCAGTCTAGAATCCCACTAGAAACCCTGGCACCAGCCATGCTTCCTGTGGGACCACTTGTCCTGCCCCAGGCCCCTGAAGGAGGCGATTTGGGTGACAGGGAGGGGTTTATGCTTTGCTCTCCTCTTGATTAGCTTTAAGAAAAACAAAAATCTTAATGGATGCGCTTTAAGATTCTTTTATCTACAAAATGTGAATTCACCCACAACTGGGAGGCCACATCAAAACCATCCCGGCTCCTAGGGACAAGGTGACGGCTACACTCCCGAGAGGCCCGCATCAACAATGAGCAGCAAGGAACGGGAGCTCCAACTGGCTGTCTTTTAGGGGCCTCCCCACCGAGTCACAAATACTGTCTCAAAGAGGAATCGAGGCACCACAGCAACACTGCGTCCCTGTGCTTCCGTCCTTCATGGGGATGACAACGCGCTTTGGCTGTGCCGCACATCTGCAGCAGCTGCTCAGGAAGAAACCTAGCCCAAGCCCTACAGCGCCAGCGAGGATGACAACCACCACGCCGCGCCAGGAGCGGGAGCAGACACAGGCTGAGGGGGAGAGGCCACGCAGTCCCGGGGGCCCCACTGGCTGGCACTGCTGCTATAGGCTGTGCTCTGTAATGCTGCTCTGAAGGGGCCCTGACTCAACGGGTGAGGGCTCTGGCCAAGGGCCTAAGAGCAGCTGCCTGCAGGAGATCCACGGCTGGCACCTTCAAACAACGCAGGTAACCCATTTTCTCTTCTGTGTGGTCCAGAATCTGCCCCTCCCCTCCCCTCTCCAACGGTCGACCAGGCACCAGTCTAAAGACAGCACACACGCCTGGGTGGTCACAGAGTGGCTTTGCCAAGTGCAGGTCCTCACCAGCAGGCCAGATGCCCGTGGCAGGGAGAGGGGCCGTGGCTGCCATGCTGCCTTCAGCTCTGCCCCACCCCCTTGACAGCACTGCCCGCCGGGGATGCTCTAATCCTGGCAGGTGAGGCTGACAACACTCGGGTCACTTGTCATTCAACTTGCCCCTGACCATGACAAATCTCCAGCCTAGGCCCTGAACCCTGAAACACTCAGAAATGTGAAAGCGGCGCATGCCTCGAAGAAAACAAACAACTCCTAAGTCACCCCAAATCCCATGCCATCCGGACCTCTCAGGTCAGCGCCCTCAGTATTAATGCCATCGAGAACGTTGGCAGGGCTTGCGGGTCCTGACCGCCTCTGCAGAGCAGGTCCTGCGGGCCGAGGGCAGCTCACAGCAGTGACCCCGCTGGCAGCCCAGGAATCCCAGGGTGACTGCTGACCTGACGGGCTCCGCCCCACACAGCAACTTTCACCAGCAGCTCCACCCTGAGTCATCTGACAGCGCAGCCACTCCACGGCTGCCGAGTGTGCATCAGGCTGTGAGACCCAGGCTTGCCCTAAATTCTCACAACAATTCACACGGATGCTCCGACTGGTGGCTTCTTTCCTGTGCTGACTCTTTCTAAGTAAGGGAACAGCAAAGCACATGGACCCGTGCGGAAACAGCCTTCAGTGGGTAGACTGGAGTGGCCGGGAGAAGCACCGGCATGCCCGGAGCGTGGGCGGGAAGGCACCCTGCTGGCGCACTCGGCTCCCAGGCCAAGGGGACCCACAGAGAAAGGCCCGGTGAGGCGGCACTGCCAAATGGGGAACACAGGGTTCTTCGAGAACCCTTCCCATGGGTCGAGAGCCAAACTGCCTCTCCAAACTGAGCTGAAACAGCACAGGCTTCCGTTTACTTCTAGAAACTGCAAGTTCCTCAGTAAAGGATCCTGCAACCGAAAAAAGAACAAAACGGGGTGGGGGGGGGGGTAGGTTGTTGAATTCAGAGGGCGAGGAATGCCCTTCACGGGAGGAACACGTACTGCGGGGAAGGCTTTTCAAAAAGTTGTTCCCGGCCGCCTCTGTTAAGCATGGAAAATGAAGAGTTCAGACAAGCCACTTCCTGAAACTCACTCCCACCCCCTCCGGCAAGCACTCTCCTATTCAGACTGCTGGGGCGCAGGCGCAGTGGCCGGAGGGCGACGGCAGCAAGCTGATCCCTCGAGAGACAGTCTCAGTCCAGATCAGGGGCTGGGGCGGGGTTACTTGTCCAGGGACTGCTTCAGCAGAACTGCCCGGCAGTGCAAGTCCAGACACAAACGCGCAATTCACCCTTCCAGGGGAGGAGGCTGCCGACAATTAGCGCTGCAGAAAGACCGTTACCTTTTCTGGTGAAAAATTCCTTGGAGTACTTCCCCAACATAGCGTATTTTCGAGGGACTTTCCCCAGCAGTTCAATGATCAGTGCTATGTGATCTGCACTGGGAAACATCACCAGCAAAACAGAAACACACCACAGCTGAATCAGTACACTACACGCACACGCCCCGCCGCCCGCGCAGACAGAAACAGCGCGCCTGGAGAAGCAAAGCGAGGGCTTCCCCCAAGCAGCCGGATTCAGGACCCAGAGCTGCAGGGCAGCCACAGTCACCGGCACCCAGGAGGAGCCGCCACAAGGCCAGCTTCGGCCAGCTTTTCAATCAGTCTGGGAGTCCTGCTGGGTTGCCTTATCAATTTGGAAGCGGTGACTTTGTCATCACCGTTGTCAGTGCCAGAATCAGACGGGGCCAGTCGTTTCTGTCTGCATCGTGGCGCTTTCCAGGAAGAAGAGGTACTACCTCTGCGATTGAAGAACTCCCGAGAGTACTTTCCAGACAGGGCAAAGTGCCGTGGGATACTGCCTAGCAGCTCTATGATGTGGGCTATGTGGTCTATGGAGGAGAGAAAAAAAGGAGATGGGATGGGAGGGACAAGGGGAAGAATGGGACAAAAGAAGAGGGGAAAAAAATTGAAATTAGTAAAAAAAAAAAAAACTCAAACAGATTCAAATCAACAATGTTTGCAGCACGTCCATGCAGAGGCTGGTGGGCCTGGTGGCCTCAGCCACCATCCGGAGTAGAAACGGTGGCTGAGGCCAGCTCACCCCAGGCCACCTCAGCATTACAAGCAAATAAAGCATGGAGATGGTTTACAGATGGAATTCAAGCCAGAATTCCTAGGTTTTCAACTCAGCTCCCCAACAGGAAAGTGAAACGGGCGGCAGACCAGTGGACCGGCCGGGGCCTGCACTGTCGGGCCTCCGCCTGCCAGGCCTCAGCAGCAGTGCCCACTCCGGCCTGTTCGCTGACCTCGAGGGGGCTTCAAACTCAACAAGTCTGAATTTGGTGTTTGAAAACCGCAACATGGCTCTATTTCCATCTAAACGCACGAGCCTCTGCAGGAGGAGACGGGACAGAACACCGCACCACTCACCTTCGTCTCTTGAATAATCCTCCCCAGAATGCGGTTCGAACAGGTAATCTCCCGTGGCCAGCTCAAACGCCTAGGACACAACAGAGGATGTGTAAGAACCCCCAGCCGCGGGCCCCACGCCCCCGCCGCCCCCAGGGAGCGTGTGCACCAAGCTACAGAACCTCCCACAAAGGCTCAGGGCAGCTGCCCTTTCTTCCAAACAGTTTAGAGTACCAGGAATAGTCTTCTGCCTCTTCTAATGATGAGCCGTGCATCGCCCTCACACACAGGGGGCAAGCCTGGGTGCCAGCGAGGTGGCAGCACTGCGCACAGGCCCGCGGGATGGAGCTACACGTCCTGCATGTGTGGGACAAGGGCTGTAATTCCGGCTTCTGCCAGACCTGCCCGACCCCTGGCCGGCCCTGCAGGCATGCCCTTCCTACCAGCAAGGACCTTCACGCGGCAACAGTCAAGGGCTACCTTGAGCAGCTCATTGCCAGTTTTATCATCACTTCACTCGTGTTGGCTCAACCTACACAACATCCAGAGCCAAGCACGATTCCGTTTCTCCCCCCTGTGGCCAGATGAAGTGTGCTGGCTGGCCTGGGTCACTGAGGGCTGCTTCCTGGCCTTGCCTCAACATACCAGAGCGTGGGAGAGGCTTGGTGTGGCCCCGTCCCTTGCTGTATGAAACATGTTCAGGACCATGGGTTTAACGTCCTAACAATCCAAAAGGTACCAAGTATTACACATTTGCTGATGAAATGAGAAAAAAAACCCCACTAAATCTCTTTCTACTTCTTTGCATATTTCTCTTTTGAATGAGACCGTGCTGTTCTGAACGGGGCCAGCTTCCTTGGGTCTATTCCGGGATACCCAGGAGCTCCCTGGGGCAGGTCATGGCACCGACGGACTGTGCCTTCCCCTCTGCGACCCCAGAGCGCTGGCATGGAAAGCTGAAGCGAAAGGCCAGCCGCCTGGAGGAAGGGTCTACCTTCCCAGCACTGTCTCGGACAACTCAGGCTGGGCACAGGCCGTGCACACCACATCCTCCCGCGACAAAGCCGCAGCAGGGGCAAGGCACGGCAGACTGCCTGCCAACGGACACTTGCTCATCCGCCCACAAGCACTGGATCTAAGCAGAAGGCAGCCTCGGCGCAGGCCCAGTACCACAGACACACCACACTACAGCAGGCAAGCAGGAAGATGGCTGTGTGTGCCACCATGGGCCAATCTGAGGCCCGGGCAGACAAATCTTCCAACTGACCCCAACTCCAAATCAAAGGCTGGGTCATGTACCCAGCGGCCGAGAACATCCTTCTAGCCTGGTCAACCGGTCAGCACCTTGGAAGTCAAGAGGGACACACGAAAATCCCAACAGCGGACTGTGGTCCTGGGAAGCCACGCAGAGGGGTTTTCTCCTTCACACCCATGCTGGGCTCCGTGAATTCATTTTCCAAATTCCCTCTGGCTGGCTGTGATGTTTTGTGCTGCCCACAGCACAGAATGTTAGCTAAACGTCTGTTCTTTACACGATGACTGCTTGGATGAACTACCACGGGCCTTCAGGAAAACTCGGACGCAAGCTTATCGATGAAAGGCTATTTTCAAAAGGTTCCCTCACGTTGGACGCTCCCGGTTCTCTGGGAGGGAACAAGATTCTCAACAAACACGGGCATACGTGACACAGCGAGTGCACGTGAGGATGCAGACACCAGCTTCTGTACTAAAGAAAACCCTTCACGCTGAGCGCTCCGAGAACGTGGAAGATCAATCCCTCTCCGTATCAGCTTTCCCACTTCCAAGGAACTAGTCTGTCAGGTCGCTCTCCCTTCCATGGCAGGGATCAGGAGGCACCACGGGTGATTTACAAGTGATGTCATCAGTACTGGCACACACCAAGGCTTCCAACCACAGAGGAAAGCTTTGGGCTGTGACGCGTGCATCTGGGAGGACCCTGAAGTCAGAGAAAAGGAAGAGACACAGCCACTGGCCCGTGCAGCCTGACTGTGCTGCCCTGGCATCCTGGCTCTGGCAGGGGCCTGGCCAGGAGCACCCTCCACAGGGTCCGGTGGCAGTTACACATTTGTGGCATCTCTACATTGGCACGAGGCGGTCAGATGTTAACACACTGCAGTATTTATAAACTTCAACAAAAGGGTGGGGGTGCGGAAGCACTGCCAGGATGCCTAGGAAGAAGAAACGCTGCCGGCAGGCCTGGGAGGTGCAGGAGAAAAAGCCCCCTCCCTCCCGACAAAGGCCCGCCGCTGGAGGCAGGGCAACACCCCGAGCACGGCCAGCAGCTGAATCCAGCAGTTGGGGCAGGGGCGAGGAGGAGCAGGAGGGAAGAAGCCACAAGCAACAAGTGAGGGTGACAGGTCGGGGCAGACACTGGGAGAGCCCCATCACAGTCCTGCTGTCCAGTTTCTCTGATGACATCATTTGAGTTCACACTCAGAACTGGAAGCGGGTCATTTCTGAGCTGAAGGTGGGGTGGCACCAATGCTCCGGCCACTTCACTGTTGCTGGAGACAGGGCTGCCCAGACCTCACCACAGCCTGAAACGATGCACTGCTCCTTGCAGGACCAACTCTTCAAAACACCTCCGCTTCCACGGATCCGGCCCCTGCCACCACCTCCCTTCCCCTCCAGAGGGACACAGAATCTGAGGCCGATGCATTTGCACAGCCGGTTCGGAGCACAAAGGAACCACGACACACTGCCCACTCAACCATCTACACCAGGCCAAGCTGGTAACCAGAAACTTGGTTTCAGATGTCCACCAGAAAACGTTAACATTTTGCTCATTTTAAATCTGACTGCTATCAATCATCAGAGCAAGAAGGGAGCGAGGGCATGCTACAGGCCCCACTGCAGGTCCTGCTGGCCAGCTCTGTAATGACAGACCATCCAGTGTGGTGCTGATCACCTGGCCCGAGCTGCCTAACAGTGCTTTGACTGCAGCACTAGATAGCAGCACTTCAGTAAGTCCGTAAGGACTGACAGATTAACCATCATACAGCTATCCCGTACCGCGCTTAACAGCAAAAAGACAAGCACCAAGCTTCATCCCATCACTCCACCCTAAGCCACACAGGCAGCTCCTAGACCAGGAAGGACAAAGCAAAGGCACAGAGCGCAAGGAGCCAGGCCTGCGAGGGAGACGGCCTGTGGGCTGGGGGAGTCACCAACACCACAGCTGTATAGACCTGCAGCAGAAACAAACACAGCTGCTTCTCAGTGATGGGGCAGGTGGCCCCCAGCCTGGAAGAGATGCCACATCTGCCTCAGGAGTGTGTGGGCATCATGGGACCGCCTGCTGGAGGGCTCTCTGGTGTGCACTGCACAGGAAGACACTTGAGTGGGTGCAGAGCCATCTCTCGGAGATGAGCAGCCCTTCGTCTCAGGCAAACACAGCAGAGGTCGCTGGGAAGGACTCCGGCTCCAAGCCCACGGGATCTTCTCCCCTCTTTGGAAGCCTACAGTTTCAGGGGCGACGAGGTATCACCTGAAGTCCTGTGTCCCCACGGTTTCAGACTCCTGGGACTGGGGTTGTCTCAATAACAGTGTCCCTTGCAAGTCACAGGAAGCCAGCTGCTCAGGATACACCCACAGTGCACCTAGCCAGCTCCCCCAGTGTTCAAGATACTCTAAAAAAGTCACCATCCCCTCTCCCATCTACCATGGACAACCCCCAGCCTCAGCACTTGCATCATGTGTCCAACCCAATGCTAACTCACAGAGGGGAAAATGGCCAAGGCCGCTCTTACCATGCACGCTGTGCTCCAAATGTCAGCAGGTGTACTGTAACCTGCTCCTATCAAGACCTCTATGGACCTGTACTGCCGCGTCTGGATGTCTTCCGTGAAGTGTTTGTGCTGGAAAGAACACGGGTATTACCATGAAGAAACCACTTCACACAGAAAGGCATGTTTCTTCTCACAGAAACAAAAACTCGACTTACCACCCAGCAAGCATTTCCCAGGTCAGCGATTTTTACTCTAATTTTATCTGCGTTCCGCGGATCCAGGGGGTTCACCAACAAGTCGGCTGCCCGGGTTTTCGCTAGCATGAGCAAACAGCAGGAGTTTAGTGATTAGGACAAGGGTTCGCAGGCGTGAAAATACAACATTCACAGGGTGGTCATTTGGACCTGGAGCGCTGGAGTTCAACTCAAATGCATCATGAGCCGTCAAGCCCAGAGAAGACAGCAAACCGCAGGCACAAGGACCCCTTGGCAGCCGCGGCCTTTCCCCTAGTCTTCCCGACTCCCTCGCCTCCAGGCCGGTCCAAGAACAACGGCCTTGCTCCCAGTAGCATCTCTGCAAATGCTCATTATATTAGAGCTCATCCCCTCTAGGCCATCTGTAGCCCACTGCAGAACACGCAGGCAGCTGGGATGCTGCCACGGGCAGCCCAGCACATCCAGGGGACGAGCGGTCCACCTCACAGCTGCATGCCCACATCTGCAGCTTCCCCCGCTTAGCCTGAGCACAGAGCCCTAGGCGAGAGCCGGGTAACACAGCCGCATGGCCGGGCCACTCAAGTCCGCCTTAGTTTCCGATAGGGAAGACTCCTAAACAGAGACCTGAGATGGTCACGGGGCTGCTCATGAACCTGTGACGCACTCCGGTGACTTTCAGGTGATTGAGAAACATGTATCAGTTCAGCCAGGCTTCCCAGGGCTGTGAGGACCAGAGCAGCTTCTTAAGACAGGTCTGGACCACGGCTACACCGAGCAGTTAGCCAAGGGGTGAGGCCCAGAAGGAGCATGTGAGGCAAGCCCTTTATCCTCAAACCTCCAAGTGACCCAGGAGCTGAGACTTCTGGGAAGGATGAAACGCAATCACGGCTTTTTATTTATTTTAGAAGTGGTATTTATAGACTCAACAGAACAGCCCGTTCCATGCAGAATATCCAGCACCACCTTGGCGAGCCCTTTTTGCTCACTCTAAAACCTGCTGAAATGAACGCTATTTCGTGAGCACACGCAGCTGCGGGAGCAGCACTTGGTGGCCTGCTCCCAGCACGCCCCGCGCAGGCAGAGCCATCCGTCTGGCTAGCAGCCTGGTGACTGGTGGCCCTCAGATGCCCAGGGTGGGGTTCCGGAGGGCACTGAGAGAATTTTGGCCAGTGTCTTAGCTCTCGGCAGTGGTGTCTCAGACTGGTAGACTGACCCATGCTAGCCGGCCTCAGATGTGCCCTTCGGGCTCCTTGCCCTAGGCCTGTATCCCCCTCCGTAAGGATGCGGATCCCCTCGGGGGCCACGTGCCTAAAGGGAAGACAGGGCAATGTGCACAACAAGGAGGCGAGCAGCTCGAGCACTGAGCAGGGAAGCTCAACTGATGTCAGTTATGCAGTAAACATCCAAATGTTTACCTCAAGGCACTGAGGTAACTACAGCACGAGCTTGTTGGCTCCTTTCTCAGAGAACCTGGTTGATGCTGCCTGCCCCCCAACACCGCATTTCTTTGCTTTTGCTCAGTTTATTAACTTTCCACCAATGTCATGATACACTTAAATAGCAGAATGATGGACATGTGACTATCGTAATAATGTAGGGGAAAGAGTGTGGGTTGGGAATAGGAAGGGCGGAGGGAGAAATCCCTGAATCTATGGAACTGTATCTTGAAAAGACAAAAATTTTAAGTAAATAAGGGCCAGGCGCGGTAGACTACTGGCTAAAGTTCTCTCCTTGCACGTGCCAGGATCCCATATGGGCACTGATTTGTGTCTCAGCTGCTCCACTTCTCATTCAGTTCCCTGCTTGTGTCTCTCCTCTCTGTAAATCTGCCTTTCCGAATATTTTTGATTTGATTTTTCATGTTGTTTACATAGTTGAGAGGAGTGCATGCCCATCGCGGGCCTCTGACTAGGGTGGGGAGCGTCCAGGCGTGAAGGAAGATGGCTGGGATAGCAGGATTCTGTTTTTTCTTCTTTCTCTCTTTCTCCACTGTCTGAAGCAGGGGCTCAGTGGGGAAGTGAACCAGCACATAGAAGGCCCTCTCTTTAGCTCTCCTTTTCTCTTTAAAATCTGCTTTTGAAATAAAAAATAAAACTTTAAAAATCCAACACATCCAAATGCTGACCCCCGATGGACAGAAGGAGCACGCCCACAGGGCCAGAGAGGGCCTTGTGCTCACTTAACCCAGGGGGAGGAAGCAGGAATGACGACAGAACAGGACTGAACCCAAGTTCAAAGGTCAGTAAATACACTCTGAGGCTTGGTTTTCAGGAATAGAGGAAGAGGAAGAAGCAACCTTTGTGTGACCTCAAAACAAGAAACCCCAAACACAGAGGAGAGCTAGGGCCGTGCCCAGGTGACTGACAAAACCCGGGGCTCTGCTCTCTCCTGAGCAGGTGGACCACGTGCCCGGGCTGGCAGCGAGCATGCGGGAGAGAGGCCCGAGCAGCGGCCGGCCCCGAGGACTCAGATCCAAGATCTGCCCCGGCAGAGGGCACTAGGCACGTGCGATCCCTTTCCCGAGACCAGGAAGCCGTCCGTTCTGGCTGCTGTAGGAGGGTGCTCCAGTGGAAGGCCACGAGTGAGACGGGGATTGTAACCTGCCACCACTCCTGGCTGTTGCCAAAGATACCCCGCCCCCCCCAAGCTGCCCGATTAAGCAGGAAACACAATTTCAGACACCACACTCAGGGCAGTGCAATTTCTTTGTGTCCTCCACTGAACACACCCCCTTGGGTGGCACTCTGCTGCAATTTGTTCAGATCTGTAAACAGTCCCCCAGCTCACGATGCACTCCAAATGACAGGAGGCCATTTCTTGCAATCATTTTAATTGTATAAGAACACAACAGGAGGTGTAAGAGTCTGCTGGTATTTCTTTTCCCTGTGTCAGCTCCAAGAAGTCAGTGACCATTCCCCTTTGCTCTGCCCTCCCCTGACGGAGTCGCCCCAGCAGCTCGCCCAGCCCTGCCTCTTAGTGGTAATGGGGACACACGGGAGAAAGTGGAGCTGTCTTCCTTCCAGGACAAAAGGCCTGCACCTGCTCTCCCTTTCGCCTTAGATCTCCTGACAAGCAGGTGGCAGGGTGACAGTGTCATCTTCACACGCAGCTGGCAGGACCCTGGCGGCAGCACCAAAGGGCTGGCTCCACGGTGCCCGAGCCTCATGCACTGTGTGCTGCTAGACCTCCTCCTACATCGGGGGAAATCAGCCCCAGGCCTAAGCAAGCACAACTGGAACGTATCCCTTCGTTCGGCATAGAACGACCCAAACCCTCAGCACCGCAGGCCTGGGAGCACAGCATGAAGGTCACACACTTGAAGCTGGGAGAAGCTGGCCGGAGGTGACTGACCGGTGCATCCTGTTAGGTAGTTCTATATACTACGGCGAAGAATAACGCATAGAGACGGAGGAGGGTGAAGGTGTTGAGGGCAGAAAGCACACATCCAATAGAGTCGGGAGAAAGGAAGCTAGCTAGGAAAGACGGGGTCAGGGAAGGCAGAGACCCTGAAGCACAAACAACCTCTGAGTCAGCATGAGTCATGGAGAACCAGCCACGCCAACAGAGAGAGGTGATGGGACAGAGGGGACAGACAGGGCGACAAACACCCTCAAGTACTGTTCAGTGGCCACCAGAGCTCACTGTCGAGGGCGAAGGGAAGATGAGGTCGTATCCGAAAGATCTCTCTGGACTGTTAGAACACATTAGGCAAGCAGGGTCAACGTGACACAAGCCTGGCAGCTGTGTGACAACAGCCTAGGCCAGCAGCCACCGTGTGGCTCCGGAACAGACTCCACATGCGCCCTTCCCAAAAAAACAAAACCAAGACCAAAGCCAGTGGGAGCCTTGCTCTGGGGTTCTGTTCCCGAGACAGGAGTGGCAGCTTCCAAAGGACTCAGAGGAACCAGCTCCCCAGCACAGACACCATCTTTCTCTTCTACCCCACACTGTGCACACCTGCCACGAAAGGGCTGACACAAACTCAGTAAAGCTCCTTTATCTTGCCTTGCTTGTTCAGGCAGCAACCTGGAGGAAATTACCAGTCTCTAGGCCGTACCCCTGCAGGAAAGCAGGAAGTAAAACACGGCTCCCTCAGGGCAGGATGTTCAAGGTCACGCAGGGACCACGCGAGGAACCAGAACCGTCTCTCCACGGAACGGCATCCTCCGGAGTTTAACAGTTCCAGAGACTTCTCTGGGTAAGAGGCTCGGCAGAACAAAACACCCAAATTCCTTTTTTCCCCTTTTCTGAAAAAAAAGTTTTTTTTTTTTTATTCAAAAGGCAGAGAGAGAGAGGAGAGGGAGAGCAAGAAAGAGGGAGAGGGAGAGTGAGCGAGAGAGCGAGCATCTTCCACCCACTGCTCACTCCCCAGACGAAGCCAGGGCAGGAACTCCATGCAGGAGGCCATAGGAATGGACGGCAGGGCCCAAGGACTTGGATCATCTGCTGCTGCTCTTCCCAGACTCGGCAGCAGGAAGCTGGTCTGGAGGCAGAGCAGCTGTGACCCACCAGCACTGTACTATGTGATGGCAGTGTCACAGATAATAACCTGTGATGCCACAACGCCAGCCACAAAGGTTTAACCAAGCTGCCACGGTAACAGGAACCGTGACGAGGGGAGGGGTGCTGTCACAGAGCAAGCCGAGTCGCTGCCTGGGACCAGTCCCTGCCTCCCTTTCTGATCCAGCTTCTTGTGAACACGGAGATGATGGCTCACGACTTGAGCCCCTGCCCCTCACGCGGGAGACCAGGCGCGGTTCCCAGCTCCTCTATCCATGCTGGCCCAGTCCTGGCCACCCAGCATTTTGGGAAGTCAATCGAGGGACAGAGGATTTCTCTCTGGCACCCCATCTTTCCCTCTCACTTAGCCCACCTCCACTTCACACATCCCCACTGTTTCTCTTGCTCTGCCTTTTAAATAAAATGACTGAGCGTACATTAGGAAAAAAAAAAACCCACAGGAGAGTTTGTTTAAAAAAAAAACAGTAAGTCTGGAGAAAATGCTTCCCTACTGTCCCTTCCTGGAAATGAACCATCCGTAGCCATTCTACGACACCTTGCAATACCCTCTGGTCACAGTCAAGGTGACCAAGGGCTGACTGTGCCCAGCCAAAGAAAGCAGACACGCCCTCCAGACAGGCCAGCAGCCACCAGCCACCAGCCAGGGCTGTCCCAGCATCTGCTGGCTCTGTGTCAGTAGAGGGAGCGAGGTTTCTGAGCTCCTCACTGCGGGCCAGATGGAAAGGAAGTTTGTCTACTGAAGTCAGTGAGTAGTCCGTGACATGTGCTCCCCAAATCAAGGCTTCAAGTAGGTCATGGTCTCACAAGCTCCCATCTTTAGCCTGCCATCCCTCTGAAACCCATTCCATCTCCCAGGATCCCATCCCCAGGGACGACTACCAACGTAAATTTATGGCCCTTCCTCTCAGTACAGCTAAAGAGCAGGTACATTCTTTTCCAACAGAGCTAAAAAAAATATATAACATCAGAACAAAGAGGCTATAAATTACCAGCTAAATGACGCATCGTTGAAACCCACGGGTGTAAGTGGCCAGATCTAAAAGCTAACTAAACACAGAAGGACAAGAAAAGTCCAGAAAGATGACATCAGATGCCGAGAGCAAGACCAAGGCTAGCGATGCACGATTTATCTTTAACTCACGTTACTTGCTCCTGAGGACTGAAGCAGTGACAGGAGGATGGCCAGGGCACACACCCATGGCTTCACGGCCTGCAACAGGCTCCTTTCCCAACCTCCGCCCCAGGTATGACGCCATGGTCACCGCAAGCGGCCGACGGGAAGGGAGGGACACTTACTTTTGGGCAAATCCCCGGTGCTGGAGGCGGACACGGTCCTGCTTCTGTCATGGGACGGACTGCTTTCCTCAGGCTCGGTCAGCGGTGACCCCTCGGACAGCACCGAGCCACAGGCCACAGGTTCTAAGGACCCCGAGAACAAGGAAGTAGAAAACTCAGCAAACTGGGACTCGGGAATTTTATGTCGTCCGTTTGGTAATTCACCATTGAACTGTTCATAGGAACTGCTATACGTGTAATCGCTTTCTGCATTTGGCTCCTCAGGGTTATACTCCTCAGGATTCGGGCAGTCATCTTCCTCATCTTCCTCCTCCTCCAGCTGCTGCTCCAGTGAGAATGGGCCGTTCTCTATATGGCCGTTGGTTTGGGGAGACTCTATCCAAGGGGGGTCTATGTTTGCAAGTTCCCGTTCAACATCATCTTCATCCTTCTCAATGTTTTCCTTCTCGGTATCTTCTTTCTCGTCCTGGTCCTCAGCTTCACCTTAAAAAATGAACAGGATAAGAATCAGCACCACCCCTCTCCGGGACACGGACCCAGCACCTGCTGAGTACCTCACCTTCAACAAGCGGAAACTCCGGCATGCTTCATTCACACTTCACGGAGTGCACAGCTCTTGATGCATGGGATAAAACTTTTAGCTTCCCATATCTTATTTATCAATCACTCTCTACCTGGCCTACTCACATTAAGTTAGCTCTAAGCTTCTTACTTGCATTTCTATCCCCTCCTCTGACCAAGGTCTTTGCCATGCACAACTGTTGGGCAATCTGCTGCCTGCAAACCACAGGAACGACCCTGTGACTAAGCAGGTGGCACGGTACTTCTCAGACATTTTCTGTATTTTAAAAGCTAGCCTGAGAAGTTTAACAAGCTGCAGGCACAAATTTGGTTATGTGAGGCCCCAGGCCACATCTCACACTGCCCATCAGGACAGGCAGAGAGCAGCCCTCGCTATCTGAGGAGCTGGTATGCAGGGGGCAGACACCCCAGTGCTTCACTCCAGGATCCCACACTGGGGCCACCCTCCCCACCAGGATCCCACACTGGGGCCACACTGACCGCTGTCTTTGGCCGTCTCCTCCTCGGCGGCCTCCTCCAGCCCTGCCGCCTTCAGCTTCACCTCTGAGTGGTATTCGCCATCTTGCTCATTGCAAGGCGCGCTTGAGCTGATGTTTTCTTCTATTATTTTCCTTTCAGCTTCTCGCTCCAATTCTTCTATCTCCTGCAGGCGTTTTTCCAATAATTCTGCCTGCCTCTTCTGCTTCTTTTTCAGCTTTTTCTTTTTGTTTTTAGATATTTTTCCTATCTACAAGGTTAAGAAAATGCCACGGGTCAGTTTTTGTCTTCCCGTCTTTGGTCGAGCACCACACAGCAGCACAAGTGCTGGCAGCTTGGCTGTTATACTCTGCCATGCACCAGCTCAGAGCTGAGTCGCCTGGCTGCCGGGGGTGGGGGGGTGCGGGGTGCAAAACAAAACAAGAAGAAAGCAGTGCAATTTGATACCACATGTGGGGTCTACTTAGCCAGGTTAGAGCCCAAACCCAAAAGACCTCACCACTGAGCTCTGAGAAGCGAACACCCTGAAATACTCCTGGTTTTCAACAAGAACTCCTCTTGCGATTTTTATTCGTTGCTATCTGTGTACAAATTAACCGCATCGTCTCATCTTCCATAAATAAAAAACCAAACACTGCCAAAACAGGTGTATTTCACAGTTGGTCAAACACACTGTGTCTGGTTCTCACGTTCGCAGTGCTATCATATATCCCAGTGCCAAGACCACATGAATTCAGAGCGATGGGCTGACTCAGTGAGACAGGAAATAAAGCAGCCCGCCTTAATCTCTGTCTCTGAGGCTTTGTGACCTGAAAGCACTAGCGGTGACAGCCTCGGATCCCACACAAACACTGAACTCTCGGCTCTGAAATGAAGGAAACACCTCGACTTCCTCACAGTAAGCTGCTGCAGCGCCCCCTGCTCCCACAGCCTGCACTGAGCCTCCATTCCCAAGTGAGGGCTGCTGTACTGGATGTAGGGTTTTCACAGGACTACAAAGCAGGTCATACTCTCCCATCCTTAACAACTGCACAACTGGCCTGGGGCGGTGTGTGGGGGGGCGATGGTGGTGACAGCAGGAGGACTAGAACAAGAGCTTCAGACAGACAGGTAACTTGGAAGCCAACTAGAAATAAGGTAAAGTGGTTTGGAAACAACCACACTTCAAACCCTCTAAAACCTCACATTTCACCACAGCACTCCATACAGTGCGTGAGGAGGATGGGTCTTGAACCAACTTTAATTTTTCCAGCTCTGCAGAAAGTGTTTCATCTTTGACACAACCACCACTTCCAACATTTACAAGCATGCCTGCTCTTTAACACACACCAGGACATCACATGTGTTAAAATTGGGAAAACTCAGTAATAACCAGTCTCTCTTGACACAATGAGTACAAGTGAATTTGCTAAGTACTTACAGGTTTTTGTTGAGGAGCCGTACTCACTGAAACAAAAGAAAACAAAACAGATTCAGAGGAAAATACATACACATCCTTATACAGCTCATTCAGATCGCAAAGTAAAACTGTCCTTGAATGGCTACCTAAGAGAACTGCTCAGAGTTTCTTAGCCATAGGAATTCAGAAATGGTCCACGCAGCTCAGCCAGCCAGCTCTTAAAAGGCACAGCTGGAATCGTCAACCAGAACCATCTCTTATCCATACAAAACTGTAAAAACAATCAACCTTTAGCATAATACTAATTTAAGAAAATGCTGAGTTCACAGAAATCACATTGTCATTAAGCCAAATTTGCTTATACGCAAAGCAATTAACATGTCAGAGTGAATGTACATCTGTTTGAAATCGATTTGCAGGCTTTAGACCAGCGAAGGCAACCACGCACTGCAGCGAGTATATAGCATTCTAGAAGTCCCTGGATTAGATCCCGAAGCACATCAAGAGCCTGAAGGTTAGGTCCACGCTCTAACCAACAGTCTGAAGGGCAGGGAGTGAGACTGGAGACTGCCCCCTGCCTGAGCTCGGGCACAGACAATGTATGAAATGTGTGGGGACAGTCAGCACTTCAGGGCCACCGCCGAATTCAGTCAAACCGGAAATCCAAGTGTCCACATGCAGATACTCGAGCCGTCACACATCCCACATTTACTAGTCTTCTGTAACTAGTTCCAAATCTCCCAGTTACATTCAACTTACTGTGAACCATTGAGTTGTAAGCAATCTGACAAAACTAGAGCTAGAAGAAACATCCCTCCTGACTATAGGTCAGCTGCAAGCCTGTCACAACTGCCTCCTCCCCAGAAAGCCTGGAAACTCAAGAACGTACGTGGAAAAGCTCACGGACACACGTAGGAACTTAGAGGGTCTCTCAGGGGAAGACAAAGGTAAGCGAGTAAAGCATTAAATACAGTTCCGTTTATTCAATACAATTTCCTGCCTTCTCATGAGACAGGTCCCTAATACGCACCGACGAGCGAGCGACTGCAGGCTCAGGAGCCGACTCCACTCACCTGCAGACCCCGAAGGGGGAGGGGCGCCAGCTTTCTGCCACTCGGTGGCCTCGGCGGCCATTCTTCTCACGTAGGTGTCATCCACACACATGAGGATGTTCTCTGGCTTTATGTCCGTGTGGATGATCTTGCATTTACTGTGTAGATAGTCCAAGCCTTGAAGGACCTGGTCATCGTAACACCAAGAAAGGGGATGAGCAACCAATGACTTCATTACTGTCTGTAAAATAGCTAAAGTGACCGCAAGGCTCAAAAGTCACCAAACATGAAAAAGCACTTGGTCAAGGCTCCTTCCCGCCCCTCCCTCAGAGGAATACAGCTCTCCTTCCCAGACAACCAGCATGTATGATTCCAGAGGCAACGGGCGCTCCTGGAAGCCAAACGCACCCATCCACGCATGGCTTCAGTACACGCTCTGCCAATAAGCAATTCACTGGAGCAGAGTTTATCCTCCTAAGTACCTAATTCAAAGGTTTTAGATTTGTGACCAACATTCGTATAGTTCACTTTTATCAGCAGTCTCTCTCTGAATTTCTCCAACCCTCCTTTTCATAAAAGCGGAACCATTAAATGACCTTTTGTACCTGGCACAATGTTTGCTAGGGCTTACTCTTGCATAGAATGTATGAACATTTCATCTCATTTTATTGCCAAACAATAATCTACATGGCTATGCAATATTTCGTGTTTTCACCTTTTAGTTATTGCAAGGAATTCCCACCATGCATATTCCTGTACAGATCCTTGTGTCTGGCCTGGCATATGCTGGGCAGCCACACTGCGCAGCCAAAGGGTACCATCAGCTTCTGACAGATGACCTGCCGAGCTGTTTCTCACAGTGGCTGCAGCATGCAGTGTTTCCACCAATCCAGAGGCAACAACGCCTTCCTGGTGACCAATCACTGTTTTATTTTTAGCCATTCAAGTGTGTGCGTGCAGCAGACTTAAAATAGAGCTGGCTCAGCTTCTTTACCTGCAGTATTTCATTGTTTTAACGTTCATGTTCGTGATAAATTAAAGAAGCATGTACACATTTAATACTAAAGGAAAAGCAATACTGAAGAAAGAAACTGCTGGTACCTGTACTGTAGCATAATGAGCTGAGCTGCTGTCAGCAGCTGGTTCAAATCCCAGCTGTTCTTCTAATCCAGCTCTCTGCTAATGTGCTTGGGCCCCCATCGTGTAAGCGGGAGACCTGGATGCAGGCTTTGATCCAGACCTGCTCCTTCTATTTTGTCCTTTTTTTTTTTTTTTTTAAGAAAATGCCCCTGTATCTAGACAACACTTTTAAATAAAAAGCACTGAACCAAATCTTCACATGCTTATCACATGACGAAAATGAAAACAGTGTCGGCGACTCTAACGTCAAGTCACCCTGTTTTGGAAATTACTTCTTCTGGAGAGTAAGTTTTCCAATTATTTCTATAAACAGAACATTTTTAAAAGGTAGATGATGTTCCTATACATTAAAATTTTTAGTAACACACTGCTACTGAAACACTAAGGCACTTAGGCGTCTTGTCCAAAAGAAGCATGGGGAAAAAAAAGCCGAAGACACCTAACATTTACCCAGCACTGAAAATCTTACCACGATTAAGCCAAAAAAATGTTTCTGTGCATGCTGAGAGCTGGAAAAACAACTTTCAAGGAGGATACAACAGCATTATAACCCGAGAAGCAGGAGGTTTCAGAAGAAAAAATGACAACAGGAAGACCAGTCTTTGAAATGCAACAACTTCTTCCAATCATCGAAAAGAACTTCTTCCTCTAAGTTTCATTGCCATGAATGCACTGAATGAGCATCAGCTGAGCTCCAACCCCACACTACCAGGTACTGGAAACATCCCGATAAACCAGGTTTACCGCCTTCGTGGTGTTGCAGTCCCTGTGGCCTCGGACAGCTCGCTCACTCATCATGTTGAGTGGCTACAAAAACCCAAGATGAACCACGGGCACAGAGCAAACGTGATTTAATAAGCTATTGGGAAGTTCCTGGCAAGAACCAGCAAAATGAATAAAATGTGGCGACAGAAAGACTCTTGATTTTTAATTTAAAATACTTGTGGTTTTAGAGAATTTCCCAATTGGAATAAGCTTAAATTATATTACAAATTTCAGAAGAAAGGTATCTTTGTATTTCCATTGAGGTTACACCCCCGAAAAGACACTGAAAGACGGGTACCCACTGTATACTGTACACACTGCTGTCTCCTGCGCCTTCCCGTGTAAGCCTGATATTTTGAAAACTCTGACGAATGGATGGGCATACCGGTGACATCAGCCTACAGATGTCAAACCAGTAAGGCTTCTGAGAAATTTTAAGTAGATAAAACTACTCCAATGAACACTTCATTTTAGCTACCAAACACTGATTCAACCCGCCCTTTCTGGAAGCTTTTTTTGACCAAGTTCTCAGACACAGGTTGCCTGAGATTAGGCTTCTTTCACTCTCCAGGGGTGGGGCCAGTGCTACATGGGGATGGCATGTTAAAAATTGTTCCTTGAGGGCTCGGCACAACAGCATAGTGGCCAAGATCCTCACCTTACATGCACCGGGATCCCATATGGGTGCCAGATCGAATCCCAGTGGCCCCACTTCCCATCCAGCTCCCTGCTTGTGGCATAGGAAAGCAGTCAAGGATGGTCCAAAGCCTTGGGACCCTGCACCAGTTTTGGAGACCCAGAATGGTTTCGGATTGGCTCAGCTCCAGCCATTGCGGTCATTTGGGGAGTGAATCATCGGATGGAAGATCTTTCTCTCTGTCTCTCTTCCTCTCTGTATATCTGACTTTCCAATAAAAATAAATCTTAAAAAAAAAATAAACCTTAAAAGAAAAAAGGGCTGTATTCTATGACTTCTAAGGTAAATATTGCAACACAACTTGGATTTCATAATTTTTATTGTGGGCTACTATTTTTTTTTTTTAACTGTTACAGTGAAAAAGAGTGGTCTTATTCACAAAAAATAGCATTTGTCCTTAGTTTAAAGCATTGAAGTATCCCAACAACAAACACCAGGGGGCAATCTTGGCACCACTGATGCAGAATAACTGAGGATGGAACCACAAGCTTGCGCTGGCGCAAAGATGATGTTGAGACCTCTGCCCACTTCTCGGGTCACAGTATCCTGGCATGCTTTTCCCTCCAGGGCTGCTGTTGGCAGCAGGTGGCAGCAGAGATCCCTTCCTCGGCTGCCAGCAAAGCTGAGATCACTGTGACCACAGCCATGCCAGGGGCAAGGGTGCCAGTCACCCGACTGGAAGGAGCAGGCAGGTCACACCCTTCAGCAGCAGGGAAGGCAACCCGCAGAGTTCCACAGCAGCACACAGGTCAGTTCAGAACCTGTGCCTGGGCTCGGGAAAGTCTGGTCCCTTGTCTGAACCTCAGACAGTCCTGGTAAAATACAGCGGCTTGGTCTAACTGTTGCGTAAAGTTTCTTTGTGTGCACCCACAATAGTGCCAGCCACCAGCTGTTACCGTTCTTGGTGATGCAAACCCGCATCTCTCCACCATGACGTCATCAGCAAGGAGGACACTGCCCCTTGGACTTCTCACGCCAAAACTAAACAGCAGAGAAATACCGTACAAAGACCTTTCAAGTTATGTTCTGATCCTGGTGACAACAATCCTGTCATGCCTATCAGGGAAGGGATTCTGCGGCCTCTTATTCCCCTTTTGGTATCAGTGAGGCACTACAGGAAGCCCCGACGGGCAGCCAGACAGGCTGGCACAGGAGAAGGCAGGCCTCAAACAGTTCTTAATTTAGATATTAATTACCAGTGGGTGTGGAGGAAAACACCACAGGCGCTTTCCTCAAGCTTAGAAATTTCCTACTAGAAAATCTGGGGCTCCCACCCGATTTCTGTCCTTCAGGGAACAGACATGAGCCCAAGTCTACAAGCCGCTCGTTGAAACTGTGATATTAAGCCGAATGAAGTATGAGAAGTGCTTGCTTTAACAAGGGAGACGACAGGCGTGCTCAGCCAAAGAAACGCAGCGGGCACTGTTCTCATCCACGCTGTCCTGAAACAGCCTGGGCTCCTCGCTCTTCCCAGCTCCAACTGCTGAGAACTAGTGGGTCAATCCGGTGGCTCTACTGCCAAAGGCAGCCAAGGGAGGACGTCCCCAGCGCACGGACAGCACAGGTAGAGCAGGGCAGCACACAGACAGCGGAGGTGAAGAGCAGGGCGCAGGCCTGAATCCCTCAAGGCTGACACTTCACCATCCTCCAGCGGCTGCTCACGCTTGAAAACAGAATCACTTGTACCCCACCACAATGAACAAACTGAGTAACAAATTTTTGCCAATGTCACATTAAGGTTTCTGCCCCATATTGAAGAATAGTTCGATTATAACGAATTCACTGATGATGATGGCGATGGAAAGAATTAAAATGGTAAACAAATACTATGTGTAGGGGCTGGTGCAATGACACGACAGGCTAATCCTCCACCTATGGTACCAGCATCCCACGTGGGCACTGGCTAATGTGCTGGCTGCTCCACTTCTCATCCAGCTCCCTGCTAACGCCTGGGAAGGAAGGAGAGGATGGATCAGATCCTGGGACCCCCATCCACCCACGTGGGAGATCTGGAAGAAGCTCCTGGCGCCCAGATTGGGCTAGTCCAGCTCTGGCCACAGAGGCCATCTGGCAATAAAGCAGTGGTGAACCAGTGGATGGAGGATTTCTCCCTCTGTAATTCTTTAAAGTAAAACTTGAAATACTACATGTAGACAGGTAGACATGGCACCAGGCGACAGTCTGCCTGCATCAGATCATCACAGCTCCTTCTGTGGCCCAAGGGTCTTCCATCCCACATGGAAATCACTAGACTGCATTTATTTTTCAGTCAAATGATTTCTTCAGGATACTCTGCAAACAGCACTTCACTTAGCCTTTTGAAAAGAGGATTTGAGATAAACCTCTTTATTCTAAAAGGAAAGGTGTTAACAGACATATTGCTATGCAGAGGCAAAAAGGTTTTCTTAAATGCACTTTTCTACCAAAATTAAACTTTAATAGCCAAACAATCTAACATTGAATGTGATTTCCTCCGAGACAGCCTTCAGCAATCGGTTTTTCTGTTCGTCAATCTGTAGTATCAGAATCACTACATTGGCAATCTTCGTAGCAAAGTGTGACACCATTTTACACAAAGCACTGCT